ATTTGCGACATTATTGTGCTGCAAAAGAGGGGGATTTCATGTTTTCCAATTGATCCTTACAGATTCCTTACAAGTGTATCACTTACAGACTGCCGCCACCTGTTGCTTTTGCTCCGGCATGAGGGACGCTGCTGACTTCGTCGCTGCGGCTGTTGCAGGGGCATCCACATTATTGGCACCAGCGCCTCCTGCTGCTGCTGCTGCTGCATTGTTGGCTGCCTTGATCGCTGCGGCTGCGCTCACGTTGCCATTGGGCATTGGGTTTAGCTGTTGCTGCGGCTGGCCCCGGTTGCCGTTGTTGTTGCTGTTCCGGTTGTTGCTACGGTTCCGGTAGTTACCGCCACCTCCCATGCGATAGTTGTTGCGATTGTAGCCGGGCGCACCGCCGTAGCCCGTGTTCATGCCACTACCAGCACCAGCGCCTCCGCCCATTCCATTGTTGTTGTTGTAGTAATGGTTGCGTCCGCGATAGCTATAGTCCAAGCAAGAAACAAAGAAAGTGAGCAGTCAGCGACGTGCAAAAGTAGCATCTTTGTGGTGGTTGGGTGGCACTTACCTGCCGCGACGTGTGGATCCAACCCCAAATGTCTCGGTATTCAATTTGCGCTCCTGGCGCCAATCATTCTTCTTGCCCTTGCGATCCTGAGCAGCCTCGCAAGAGATGTTGTCGAAGAATGACTTGGTTTTGTCGTAGCCCACATGAACATCCTCATCCTCGGGCTCATGCTCACCAGCGCCGGTCTCATTGCCAGAATCGTCCTTCTTGTCGGTCTCACCATTCAACTAAAGAGAAACAAGGAATACATGACACGTCACATAAACCCATACAATTTAAGAGTGCATTCATACCTGTGGTTCATTGGTTGGAGCTACTGTTGTTGCTGTTGCTGCTGCTGCTCCTGCTGTTGTTGGATCAGTAGTTGCTGTTGCCGTCTTGTTGGCTGCCTCATCGGCCACCTTGAGCTTGGCCAGTTGGGTGCGCAGCTCTTCGAATTTATTGTTGGCCTGCTCGAAATCAAAGTCGCCCTCAAACTTGATCTTGTTACGAGGTTTGTTCTGGTTGGCTGAGTTCGGACGATAGCCCTGCATGATACCAAGGAGAAATGTTACTCCCTTGTCTGTTTGGGGGGAGGATGGCCATGCCATGCTATATCCATACCTGATTTGGTCGCATTGGGCCTCGGGATCCCATACCACGGTTACGCGACATATTGTTCATATTGTTAGAGCTCTGTGGACCGCCACGATGCATATTCCACGCGTTTTGGCCACCGCCGCCGTTACCTCCTCCACCGCCAGCTCCACCGCCGCCGCCACCACGCTGTTGCTGCATGCCGTTTCCGCCGCCGCGATTGTTTCGTTGATTGTTATTGTAATTGTTACTGTAGTTGTTGTCCAATTGACGGCCAGAATCGCGACGATCACGCTGCTGGTGGTAGAAGTCGTTGGTGTTCCGCTGCTGCTGCTGCTGGGGCTGCATATTGTTGGGTCCGCCACGCTGCTGCTGCTGGGACTGTTGCTGCTGCTGTTGTTGCTGATGGTTCTGACGCTTATGACCAGCATCGCGCGCCATACCATCCCTCATTCCCTGGGCGGCGCTCTGCTGCTGCTGATGCAACTGCTGCTGTTGGGTCAGCTCCGCCGTAGGACTGACGATCAGGCTAATGGGCGTCGTCGATCGTGAGGCGCCGGCAAGCATGTCTAAAACGGAAACTTCACATATAGACCACCGAGACGAGTACATGTGCAGGCAGTGTGTGTTAGTTGATGTTTGAATTTTACATGGGAAGCGAACAGCACAAGTGGATACCCGCTTGAAGCTAGCCACAATCTGAATTCCGCATTTAATAAACATTGGGCATGCATGCAGACCAAAAGGCATTCCGAACGTTTAAAACCGATAACTTACTTGATTGCTTCTGCTGCTGCTGGGGCTTTGACTGCTGCTGTTGCTGATTGCCGCCAATGTGCATGAAGGGTCCTCCGCCTGGTGCTCCAGCACCGGGCGCCAAAGAGCCGCCGCCTGAATTGCCCACCATTCCTAGGTTGGAAGCACCCAGATTGCCAAATGGATTGCCGTTGCCATAGCTGGCACCTGGGGCACCAGGAGCCGGACCTCCGCTGGATCCACCCATGGACGGGGCGCCATGTTGCTGTTGCTGCTGCTGAGGCGGTGCGTTCATGGAATTCGGCATGGGAAAGTGCTGCGGCATGACTTGGGGCGGGCCATTCTGCAGGTGGGCTTGCATAATCGCCGGATCATTGTGGTGCGGCAGCGTGTGATTGTTGACGACGCGAATATCCTTAATGTCCGAGCCCCGAAAGAGAATGTAGTCGTAGATCTGAGACTGCGGCGCGATCTGGAACTGTGTGTCACGGTCTTCTGTTCCGAAGGATCGCACTAAACAAAAAAGAGAAAGTATACATAAATTAAAGAATCAAGATTGTTTAAGGTTAAACCTCATTATTTCCTATTTAACCTCAACAAAAGGAAGCATAAAAACGCATGCTATTACATTGTGGGTGTGTGTGTGTGTGTGCGTTTATGTATGCTTTCCCGTTCTTCTTCGTTTCAGTGCAGTGTCACTGACATTAATAACGGGAGCTGCAGGAGTCCCGTTAACTGGCGCCAAAATGTTCTGCGAAGGAATGGAAATAAGCAGACACACATAGGTGCATACATACACATGTACATATACACATTGAATTTGTTTTTGCAAACAAAGTTCGGTTCGGTTCGTTCGGTTCGCCACAAAGAGCTTGCATATGGACTTGTGTGTGTGTGTATGTGCCCGCTCGTTCTCATGTAAAATGCAAAAGCAACACTGTACAACAACAGGCGAGACGAAAAAGAGGCCAAACAGCCGTTTCGTTTCTCTGTGCAGGCGACAGCATCTGAGCGCCAACATGACAAACAAAAAGCATAAGTGAGAGAGTGCCAGCGAGAGAGAGAGAGAGAGAGAGAGAGAGAAAGAATCCAGAGTAATAGTCCGCCGCCTACAACACTCTCTGAGCGACGGTAAGGGAAGGAAATTACTGTAAAAAAAATAACAAAAGCAACACCACATAACGAAAAAGTGTGGAAAAGGAAGAGGAAATTGAAAGAAACCATTTTCTTTTCGCTCCTCGGCCACTACTTCGAAGAACCGTTTTTTTATAGGGAATTTCGGTGCACATTATGGCGTATAGAGTATGAATTATAACAAAAATTATGGAATTAAAAGGATGGGAGATTTGTGCACTACTTACCACTTGAGAGAGCAATGGTGCACTCCTGCGGATCCACCGTGTACAAGCGGCCCTCATACCTGATGTCCGCCTTCGAAATTAGGCTGATTTTCGAGCCCAACTCCGGCAATCCCCCACTCATTTTGCTCTACTTAGTCACCCACACTCACGTTACAAAATGATCAAAAAAAAAAGACTCCAAACTTTTCGAGAAAATAATAAAGCTGTGTGTATATATAAATGTTTGCCAACAGCGCGCGTATCTCTATTTCCACGAATATCGGGCAAAAGCAAACAATTATAGCGAGCGCGACGACAACGATTTCTCGACGGTTCCAACCTTTCCTGCTCCCACAGCCTTCGACGTTGGCAAGCACACAATTACTTTCCAGTTCCAGCGCTGATTTTGCGGCTAAAAACTGTCTATCCACAATTGCAATACGTGCCTGCGCTTGTGCACTATTGTGCAAACTACTTTTAAATGTCTTTTGTGCAGCACACACGGTTGTAGATGTTAGAATTTGCAATTTTCTACGCAGAAAATCTTTTCACCTTCCGTCTGCAAAAACCTACCCGTCGAAAGTGGAAAGAAGTCGGGCGAGCTGCACAACTCGCATGCAATGTCCAGTGTTGGAAAGTGTGTGTTAGTTATCAACGAGTAAATATATTTAAGTTTTTTGTTTATAATTTCATTCACAAAACAACTAATCAAATAATAAATAGCAACATTTTTCCCTTAGAATTTATTTCTGTATACATTTCCTGCGGACAATTTTTTTATCGGTTTCAAGGCAACACTGCGAGTGGCTATGCAGCCCTGTGTTTGGCTTCCCTCGGCGCTACTTTTGATTCAAACTTTACAATCGTTAATATTTCCGCCATTTACCTCAAGTAGTTCAACAATTTAAATAGAGCGGGCTTACGTTTACTAAGTTCATTTTTTCATCATACGAGACGCTATATTGTTGTTGAGGCACCAACAATGAGGCAAAAACAATGAAAGCAATAGCCGTAGCAGAAAAAAAAGTCAAGTATATAAAACAAGCCAGTCAAGTAGAAAATTGATTCATTAATTGGACCAAAATATGTGGGCATGGCTAAATGTTCTATGTAGCTTATTATATTTGACGGAACATCAAAATTAAGCAATATGGTTTCAATGCTTGCCGGAGAACTATTAACCTATTATAAGCCAAGGGGGTAATCATTTTAGCGCAGTTCAGATGAAAGATTCGTGGGGTTTGGCAACTTAAAGGGAAGGATAGGATGGATCTATAAGAATTTACAATCGTTAATATATTCCGCCATTTACCTCGTGTAGTTGAACTATTTAAATATAGGGGGCTTAAGTGGGCTAAGCTCGGTTTTCCATCATACGAGTCGCTATATTGTTGTTGAGAAACCAAAATTGAGGCAAAAACAAGCAAAGCCAAGTATTAAATGTGCCGGTCAAGTAGAAAATTGATTCATTAATCGTATAAAATTATGTGAGCATGGCTAAATGTGCTATATAGCTGAGAATATTCCACAGAATATCAAAAACGAGGAATATGCAAAATATAACTTGAATTCGTCAGTATATTTACGGTATATTTTTTAAATGAGACGGTATATTTCGGTATATTTTTGAGGGTCGGACACACTGCTCGGCGCTACAGCATTTTTTCATTCAAAACTTCTCAAACTGCAAATTCACAGGAAATGCTAAGAAAATAGATATTTCTTTTCATATTTATGTGAAAATATATCAATTAGTTTGTGTAGAATCAGTGAACTGTCTTATGTCAATATGCCACCCCAGCGCGATCCCATTAGCGTCCGCACGACGCGCCTAAATAATTTAATACTGGGCAAAGGAGTTGGCGTCACCCAGAAGCCAGCAGGCTCTAGCGGCGGTTTCCGAAGAAGTATTTTGCCTGTGAGCACCACAAGTGCAGCTGTTGCCGAGGCGGTATCCCGCGAAGGCTTGCTCGACGCATTCTGCTTGCTATACAATGAATGCGACAAGGATGCCCTGAAGAAGCGCGACCGCAACATTTCCGAGTTTGTTAATAAGTGTACGTATGCTACTGCATGAGTCGCTGTGCTGGCCGTTCCACTATATATATATTACTATTCCACATTTAGTCCGCCCCATTGTCGAAGAGACTCGCAAACTGCGCGTCAATGCGGACGACTTCATCATCAAGGCGCTTATTGGCCAGGGATATTTCGGGAATGTGCATCTTGTGGTGGAGCGTCAGACGTCCGACATCTACGCCATGAAGAAGATTAAAAAGTCTGTTGTGACCACTTCCCAGGTGAAGGAGGAGCGCGACATTATGTCGGCGCGCAACTCTGAGTGGCTGATAAATTTGCAGTACGCTTTCCAGGTGAGTTTTGCTTGGTTTTTACTTCAACTATTACTTGATCGAGTTGGAAAAATTCACAGGACAACGATAATTTGTATCTGATCATGGAATATATGCCTGGCGGAGATTTACTCAGCCTGATGTCTCGCCACGGACCCTTTGACGAGCACCTTGCGCGCTTCTATCTGGCTGAACTGACTCTGGCCCTGCACACACTCCACGAAATGGGATATGTGCATCGCGATATTAAGCCGGAAAATATACTGATTGATCGCTTTGGGCACATTAAGCTGGCTGATTTCGGCAATGCGGCTGCCCTAGACCGAGACGGGCATGTGCTCAGCCTTTCGCCCGTGGGTACGCCGGATTACATAGCTCCGGAGCTGCTGCAGACCATCTCCACTTACAAACTATCAAAGTCGATGCATGATGTGAGTGCGGCTGTATGTTCGCAGACCTGAAGAGTGCTCTTCAGTGTTCAGTGTTTGGCCAAAGATATTCATACTTGAACATTCTATTCCATTCCCCCCTTAGGTCAGCTGCGATTACTGGTCCATGGGCATCATTGGCTATGAGTTGCTTTGCGAAACGACGCCGTTCCACGAGGACAATGTGCACGAGACATATTCAAAGATACTCTCCCACTGCGAGGAGAGCCACCTGAAGGAGCTGATTAACTTTCCCAGCGAGCTAAAGGTCTCGAAGAACTACAGGGATCTGATCGAGTCGTTGGTCACGAACCCATCGAAGCGTCTGTCCTACGATCGCATCAAAACACATGCCTTCTTTGACGATATTCAATGGAATTGTATGCGCTCTCAGGTGCCGCCCATTATCCCAAACATCAAGTCGGACGATGATACATCCAATTTTAAGGATGGCACGCGACACAAGTCCCGCAGGGATCAGCTAGGCAAAAAGTCCCTCACTACGAACATGAAGTCGCATGATTTTAGTGGCAAGGATCTGCCGTTTTTGGGCTACAGCTTTGTGCATATGGACAAGCCGCCAAATTGCGATTCCGTCGACGAGGCGCGTGCCAACAAATTGCAGGAAAAGCTCAAGGACCTGCAGCAAAGGCTCAAGTCGCGAGAGACTGAAATCTCAATGCTGAAGCAGGATCTCTTGCGGGCCCAGCAGTCGCTCAAGAAAACGGACAACAAGTCGCAGGTTGTGCTGGACGCCAAAATAGAAATCAAGAAGCTACAGCAAATAATCAAGGACAAGACTATGGAGTTGGCCAATTGCAAGACACAAATCAAGACCCTCCAAAGCTCGGCCAAAGTGGATGAGGAAATGTGGTCCAAAAAGGAGTCCACAATCACGGACCTGCTGCGGCTGAATCGGCAAAAGTACGAAGAGGCAAAGATATCCTCGGAGCAGCGCTACGAAAAGCAACTGGCCGAGAAAAACCAGGAGTTGGCCTCCACACTGCAGAAAATGGATGCCCGTGAGCTCGAGTTTGTTGCCAAGAGCGACGAATGCAAGCATCTGACTGCCAAGCTGCAGAACTATAAGGATGTGCTTAAGCAGCTGAAGGAGCAGACCATCAAGGCCGATGCCGGGCACGAGCAGCAAAAGAGCCAGATGGCCGAGTCCTACGAGCAGAAGCTGTTGGACCTGCGCAACAAGATACGCGAGTCGCAGGACTCGTACCGCCGCTTGACATTGGAGATGCAGGGAATTCGCACGGAGCTGGACGAATCGATTAGCTCTGGAAAATCGACCCAAGAGGCCAAGCACGCCACAGAGCGCAACATCGAGGACATATTGAGACGTCTCAACCACGAGATAGCCTCGAATAATGAGCTGCATGCGACGAAGGCAAAACTCGAGTTGCAGCTGAGGCAGAAGGAGAACGAAACTCATGAAGCGAAGGCCGAGTGCCAGCGCTTGGAGCGCGAACTACAGGTCGCCGAATGCCGCTGCCACATGGCTGAAACCTCTCTCGCCTCTAATGCTTCCCCTTATAACACAGCGCCTGGGTCTTTAACCGAACTGAATGCCATTGAAGACCAGCTGCGTGCCGACTTGGTGGCCGCCAAAGAAGGCGAAAGCCAGCAGAAGGTCCGTGCCGATCAACTCCAAACTCTCGTCACCAAACTGGAGCAGATGCTGGAGCGCTTCAACGAGCAGAACCAAAGCATTTCCCCCACAAAGTCTCAGGGAATAGGAAATAGCTCAGTAGGCGACATGCTGGAACGTCAGAATGAAAAACTTGAAGACAAGCTGGCGGCCGTACGAGAGCATATGATTGTTGAACGTCAGGCAGCGCGAGCGGCTAATCTCTCACTGTGGAAAGTGGAAAAGCAGCTTGAGGAAGCCCTGGCGGAGAAGAAACTATTGGCGCGCCGCATGGAGCTGACAGAGGATCGCATCAAGAAGGCCCAGAGTGGCCAAGAGGAGTCGCAGCGCATGCTCAAATCCTCACAGGAAGAAACGCGCCAGCGAGAGTCACGCATCGAGGAGTTGAAGCAGGAACTGGCTGCTGCCAAGCGGGATGTCATGAAGGAACATCGCCTGTGGGAGAAGGCCGAGCAGGAGCGCATGAAGTGCAAGTCGGAAATAATCGAGCACCTGGCTAACGTGCACAAACTCGAGCAGCAGGAGACTGTACTGCGGCAGAAGCTACAGCAAATGCAGCTGCGCTTTGACGGCGTCATGTTGGAGCACAAGAGCATGCAGCGTCAGCTGCAAGAGGAGCGTGAAAACAGCACTGCTGCGACTGAATCGAGCCACAGCCTGCAGCGAGAGCTGAAGGCGATGACGAACAACTTCCAGGGGCTGAAGTATGCCTGCAGCGTGACGGATAACCAGTTGACCGAGGTGGAGACCATGCTGAAGACCGAGCAGGATCGCAACAAGTCGCAGCAGACCCAGCTGGACGCTTGCCACGTGAAACTGCGGGAGCGAAACGACCAGCTGACGAAGCTGCGCCAAGAGCTGTCGGGAATAGAGGCCGACAAGCGGCTGGCCGAGCAGCGAGCCCAAGTGCTCTCCTCGGAGTTGGAGGAACTGAAGCAGAATCTAATGGAGCAGCACAAGAAGATGGTCGCCCAACAGGGCCAACTGGTCGAGCAGACAAACGTTCTGTTTGCCACACAAGAGCGGGTGAACATTTTGGATGGCCAGAACTCGAACTACCTGGCACAGAGCGCCGACTGCGAGCGCGAATTGCTTAACTTGAAGGAGGAAAACACACGCATCCTCAGCGAGCTCTTCCACAAGAAGGAGGAGGTGCGCAACCTACAGGCCGAGATAGCCGAGCTGCAGACCGCTCAGGCGGAGCTGCATACGGAGATCGATGAGCTGCAGGACACGATGGCCGAAAAGGAACAGTTTTATGTGCAGCGTGACATCAAGGCACTGGCCACGTTGGCCCAGCACAAGAAGTTGATCGATTACTTGCAGGTGGGTCCCCAGAATGATCTTCCTGGAAAGACCCTTGCCTAACTAAATCTCTGAATTGAATTGCAGCTCAAAGTAGAAGACCTGTCCAACAAGAAGAAGAAAACCCTGGCGGACAAGCTGTTTGGCACGAGTCATGGCAACAAGGAGAACATCTCCTCCAATGATGTGGAATCTTCCATTCTCTATCGCGCCCTGCGCGAAGAACTACGCCGCGAACAAAAGAACTCGGCCATGTTGAAGGAGCAACTTGAGCAGTTCAATGGTGGGTCCTATATCCTTTCTTAAGTCTTTATTCTTATAATATTTACTTTTTGATGACGCTGTAGGAACTGCCACGCTTCGCTCGCCACTCAAGTCGTCGGGACATCAGCTCAAGCAGAGGCCTGTCAGCATCGCCGTCACTCCAAGCTCCCCCCGCAAGCAGGTGTCGTCCCTGAAACGTACCAAAAGCCAGATAGAGATCACCACCCCGACAGAGAAGGATTCGCACCAAAAACAGACTGTGGGTCAGCAGCAGCAGCAGTCCCATCACCGCTTCGAGCTGGCACTACAGGAATCAAAGACAGGTTCTCCGGACTGTGTGGTGTGCAAGCAGAGCATTATCGCCAGCTCGCCTTACTGGCGCTGCAAGGAGTGCAAGGACGCGGCCCATCGCAAGTGCCGCACGAACGTACAAGGCGAATGCGGAGCCGCGAAGCCTAGTGCCCCGTCAGGGGCTGACGCAATCAGTGTTGCCCCATCTGTGGGCAGCAGCAGCCTCGAGAGCGTGGATAGCACCAGTTCAAACAACGTCGGCAGCGGGGAGTACATTGGCACGCTAGTGTACAGCTCGGATGCCCAAGGGGATCAAGAGCACGGGAAAGATCTGGAAGTAAACTGCGCCTTTGAGGTGGCGGAACAGCAACTACTGCTGCTGGGCTGCAGCACCGGTCTGTATGCCTACCATGTAGACACGCAGCGACTGCTCCACATTGCTGGCATCGAGTCCGTGAGCTGCATGTCGATCTGCAAACGCCTGGCCAAGGCCATCATAGTGGGAACGGTCGCGGAGAAGCTGATTCAGTGCGACTATCGACAGCTGGAGTCGCGCTGCCAGAGTTCCAGTGCGTATCACAGGCCCGTGCTCGAGACCTCGGCCATAGAGCTGCCGCTTGCCAACCGAACGGCCGATGAGAAGTGGAAGCTAGTTCTGATTTCCAACGAGGCGGAGAATGCCCTGGACTCTGTGGCCATAGCGGCCACCTCCACTCGCATTGTCATCTTGAAGTACGAACATAATTTGCACAAATTCAACCCCGTGCGTGCTCTCGACACGGCCACTGCGGTCACCTCGATCTTCTTTACGCGCCACTCTGCCATTGTCAGCTCGGACATGTTCTACGAGATCGATCTGGACAATTATTCGGCCGATGAGTTTGTCGACCTGGCGGATAAGTCAATGCAGAACACCGCCAAATGCCAGCCCCTCATGGCTGTGCGCATTTCACGGCAGGAATACCTCCTGTGTTTCGCCGAGTGCGGCGTGTTCGTGGATGAGTTCGGCTGTCGCTCGCGCCCCTACGACTTGAGCTGGGTCTACGCCCCGACGGGATTTGTGTACCGCGAACCCTTTCTCTTCATATCCCACTACCAGTGCGTGCAGATTGTGCGCCTCCATCGATCCTTCAGCAAGGAACTTGCCGACACCGACATTAACTCTGAGCTCTCCGAATCACCGGACCTGCAGCGCGTCTACTTGCCCCACTACATGTCTACGTTGCTGGCAAACAGTGGCGACATCAACCTGTACACACTGGCTCTTGACGCTAAGTCGTGTGCTACTGGGTCACAAAGGATCTACCACTTGGATACACTGCAGGCGTTCAAACACAAGTTGAATGTGTCCATGGAGACAATTTCGTCGGTGGCCACATCCGTGACACTGGGATCGGCAATGACAATGGATAGTATATAAATACGCTTACGGATAACTCCAAATTATTTATCTAAATCGAGAGAAGAGGGCCTCACACACAGAAATATACTTACATACATACTTTTAAGTACCATTTATGATCGGTCCACGCCTGTCCATGATTTGATGGCAACTTTGCAGAAAGGACGACTTGCCCGTAATTTAATTTAAAATATTTTTTTTATTTAAATATTTGTAACAACTTTGTGCGGATAATACACAAATAAAAGCATTCTCGACTAATAGGTGATAGGAAAGTTTCGCCCGGGCAGCTGAAAAATAGAATGCCTTAGAATGCAAAAACAATATGCATGCCGTGTGCATGATGAGACTTTTCGCTGATAAGTTTTGTCTTTGGTTGTTTTGATTGGTGGATTGCTCTCAAATTCAAAAAGCCCGCCCAACGCCTTCTTAAATAACCGTAAAGGCAGGAAGCTTCCGCGACTGACTGAGATTGAACAGAGCTTATCTATCAGCCAGCTTTTTCTGGCAGCTTTCAATGTCCCGCATAGTCAAAGCCCCAGAGCGTGGGCTCATGTGGTGGTGGTGGGGGCTCTGTCTCCGTCTCTGTCTGTGTCTCTGCGTCTCTGGCAGTCATGTTATTGTGTGGGTCCGTCCGCTCTCTGGATACGAAACTGCAGCATTACTGTAAATTGTGATAATTGATTTCAATTTATTCCATGCCGTCGGCACCGTGTGTGCGCCGTAGTCGACGATGTTTGAATCAAAAGAAAAACTTCGCGCGCGTCGTGCAGTTGCGGACTCCACTACCGCCGCAGGAACTGGAACGGATTCGAGCAAGATGCAGCTATGCCGGGCCTGCTTGGTGTTACTTCGACCCGAGGATGTGTCCTACGACCTATGCAGCGAGAAGGGCTTGGCGACCAAATTCTTCTCCTGCACCGGAGGCGACCCAGACCTTCAGATGAAGGAAGAGGAACAACTGGTACCGCAGCAGCTGGTGCTGAAAAGTATCTGTGAATGTTGCTACCAGTTGGTGCAGAAATTCCACGACTTTCAACGCATGTGCGAAGAGTCCTCCAGGAACTTTGAGAAGCTTCTGGCGGTGGTAAACTCACAGGATTCCGTCCATAACTCCATCGAGGAGCACGCTGTAGCCAACACCAGCTCGGTTCTGCCAGAATATGAGACCCTTTCGGAAGGCATTCCGTGCAATGACGAGGTCTTTAGGGGTCCGGAAACGCTGACAACCACAGAATCAATCGAAGATATTGTGAGTTTTGTATACATCAATGGCTATACATATGCAGACATGCATATACATATGTGCATGTATGGTGCTCGATATTAAAGGGTTTGTGTGCTCCAATCTAATCACAATCACTGCTTAGTAGATTGGTTGCTTAGTGCCAGGGAAGGCATTCGCAAACCAAACGCTTTTGATTGTAGGTGAAAGCGAATAAGCTATGAGATAACTTACTATCAAAAAGAGGGCATGTTTTTCACTTAGGCTTCACAAAAATAGCTACACACATCGTGCACCCTGGTTTTGGAGTCTATAAGATCTGGATTTGGAAAGACTTCTTCAGCAGAAACTGCAATATTAAGCACAGGCAGCTTTACCTCTTGTTGTATCCCGAGTTCAATGTGCTCCCACACGTTAAGGTACTCAAGAGCGTGATATTAAATATGTAGATAGTTGTAATTATTGCCAAACCAACCTTTGGGCTTATCATTTACATAAGGAAATGGCAATGAACAGCTTGTACATAGGTTTTAAGATGAGTAAATCTCCCTCCCAGTCTCTTTATCGATCCACCAAAAATGATAAGATTAGGCAAGATTGCTGATAACACACCGTTAGGGGGGTCAGTGCGTGAAAATTGTTAATTAAGTCCGATATGGGGGCACGCACACAATAGTGGTACAATCATCAGTCATTGAAAGCGATAGAAAGAACTTAGATTTCAATGAATCGGATAAATGAACTCATACATACAATATCTCTTTAATTTCAGGAGGAAGTGTATATTATTGAGGATGAAGCTGCAAAGAAAACACTGGGAAAGGAGAAGATTCCCATATCGTCACGACAAAATGTGCCCGGGCAACGCAAGCAGGGACTGAGATATACGCTCAACTGCAGTAAATGCAATCGGGGATTCTACAAAATCTCATCGCTCGAGGCCCACATGAAGAAGCACGACGGGATAAGTCCTCACACGTGCGTACACTGCGGCAAGAGCTTCGCACGAGCAAATCTCCTAGAATCACACCTCCGCGAGAAGCACTCCGCTCAGAGTATAACCTATCCGTGTCCCATGTGCGATAAGGTGTACAGTGCTTCGCGCAGTCTGAACTACCACTTCAAGAGGGAGCACAAAAGTGTACAGAAGCAGGCGACGACAGCCTCAATGCACATGTGCGACAGGTGTGGGAAATCGTATGCGCGAAAGGCGCACCTTGCACGCCACGAATGGGTGCACAGGAGCATGGATGAGCGCCGTCATGTATGCCAGTTCTGTGGCCAACGCTTCTACACGAAGCAAAACATGGTGGATCACCTGCAGCGACGGCATACCAGCAGCAAGAGTCTATTGCGGTGCAATAAATGCGGCCGCATCTTCCGTACTCGAGCGGCCCTGGCGGTACACCAAAAAAAGCACATGACTACCAGCACAGCGCAAACAGGATCAATCCTCAGCTCGGATCGCTAAGGAATAAGTAGTTAGTATTTTGTTGTTTTATTTATGGTGGTTCTCAATATCTTTCAAGCCAACTCAACTAGTAGTTACAATGTTTCGAATTACTATAAATTTATTATTACATTTAGGTAGATGGGATATAAAGGCCTGCTGCATAGAATATTAGTGAGAAATACTTGCTCGATGAGTGAGTAGGTGTTTTCGGGAGAGTCGTTCTTTAAAATTAGCTAACATTCACTTCATGGCCGGCGCAGCAATGTCGCATAGACCAAATCGAATACAATATGTAAGTCGGGTGGCATCGATTGATCTGCTATGATGCTGGCATATCTCAAAATCATGTATAAAAACAATTAACTAAAATTTATGCTTAAGCTTAAAAAACGGACAGATTTAAAATACGTGATTACCATTACATTCATAATTCAGTAATTTGTTTCAAAAAAAAGTATAATAAAGATTATCCGATTATCTGTTTTGTTCTATCTGTCTCTTACAATGACAATGCACATTTGCCAAAAATCATCATAAACTATGTGGAGGTGGTGTGGTGCGTGGCGGTTTGGTGATGTGGGGGTGGGGTGGGGTTGGGATTTTCGTTTGGTCAGAGTGGGAGATGAATGGAGGAGTCGCTTGCACTATATGTAAATAAATACGCCGCAATATGAGCATAGGATGAGAGGTAGCGAGCCCAGTGCTGGACCGCTACGTGGCGCCACAACCATTGTGACGGATATCTGTTTAGGTGTCCTTGTGTTTCTCGTAGAAGCCGTCCAAGTATTTTTTGTACTCCTTCTGGTCGTTCCACATCATCGCGGCCTGCGCATTCAGTGGACTCTCGTTGTTTGGCTCTCCTAGCAGCGACTGTATGGACAACAGTATAGTGCGTACATCATACAGGGCTGACCACTTATCTTTCAGAATGTCCAGACAAATGGATCCTTGCAAATCGACGTTGGGATGAAAGCACGATGTCAGGAATTTCACCACTGGCGCCGCATACGGATACGAGTTGGGAAAGTCCAGAGACAGTCGATACGTCTGTCCGGCGTAGACAGTGTTCGAGGGTCCATCAATGGTGCCGACCCACTTGAAGATGTTCTCGCCGTCCGGAAAGGCGGAAATTCCCCTCTCGCTGGCCAACATTAGGTTCATAAGTTCCTTCTGCAGTCTATACGAAGCATAGGAGAAGATCGCCTGGTCAGTGGAATCACTGCATTTTCATAGAAAGAGTTGGCGCCTTACCTTTTGCTCACGGCATGATTGTCTTTCACTGGCATCGAGTCATCGGTGTGTTTGGTGCCTCCAGCTCCTCCGCTCTGTTCGGGGCTGATGTTCTGTGCCATCACGATGCAATGTGTATTTAATAATTTGCTCTACAGATTATACTTCAAAATCAATTTAGTAACAGGCCCAGTATACGCTTTTTTTTCAATTTCAGTTTATATTTTTTCCCTTTTTTTCACTTTTATATGTGTGCGATAGATGACTTTAAAACAGTACAGTAGATGACAGTGTTGGTTTGGGCGTGCACAGGGTTGTATTATCAGTCAATCGGACGAGTGACAGCTGTGACAACACATACTACTCGTTGCTTACATACGTATTATATGTACATATGTACATATGTAGATGCAATGTGTATTATTTACATATAATCAAATCAGCAAAATTAGCTGCTGGCAATGGATGAAAACAGCCTGATCTACGGGCTGGAGTTGCAGGCTCGTGCCCTCACGCCCCAGTACGGCGAAAGCAATGAGGTTTGCTTTTTTATTGCCACAAACTCCTTGAAGCCCACCAATCAGTTGCATTTGATCTCCTACGACGAGGAGCAGGGTTCCATACAGTCCAAGGTAACCAAATACATATTTAAATCTCATTTAACCAATCCAAACAATGTTTACTCCACAGGTGTTTGAGCATGCACTCGGCGAGGTTTGGAAGCTAAACAGTTGCCCACATAACTCCCGCCTGCTGGCATCTGTCTATAATGTCCAAAAGGGAGCACAGGTGCAGGCTCATGCAGCACTTTTAACGCTACCGGAGGATTTGAGCCTGCCAGACGGCCAGGAACTGAAATCGGAATACCTTCCTTGGGGGCAAGTAGAAGTTTTAGACACCGAAGCCTTTGGCGAACGCGTCAAAACCATCGAATTTCATCCCAGCCAGGAGCAGACATTGGCCTGCGTGGTGGACAACAAAGTGGCGGTTATGCAGCGCGCAGAAGCCTCGACCCGCGTGGTAGCCGATGTGCCAGTGACCAGCACAGGAAGTGCCAAGCACACGGTGCCCTTTACCACCGGCAAATGGTCGCATCATCACCAGGGCCACCAGTTCCTCGCCTTGCATGACTGTAGCCTAAGTGCATACGATGTGCGCGACACACAGCATTGCGCGTGGAGCATAAGCGATGCCCACAGTCAGATGGTGCGCGACTTGGACTGCAATCCGAACAAGCAGTGCCATCTATTGACCGGCGGGGACGATGGCTACCTCAGGATATGGGACTGCCGTATGCCCAAGGCGCCAGTTTTTGAGCGAAGCGATCACTCCCACTGGGTGTGGTCGGTCCGCTTTAATACATTCCACGACCAACTGGTCCTATCCAGCTCCAGTGATTGCAAGGTCCTCCTGACGTGCGCGGGCTCTGTTAGCTCAGAGACACAGGCCCAGGCTGGCCTAGATGGGGCGCACTTTGGCGGCGGGGAAACTGAGGAGCGGCACAAAGTGCTGTCGGATGGTCTACTTCAGACCTTTGACCAACACGAGGACTCGGTGTACTGCGCCGAATGGAGCAACGTAGACCCATGGATTTTTGCATCTTTGAGCTACGATGGTCGGGTAATAATCTCAAAGGTACCAAAGCAGTATAAGTATCAGATTATATTTTAAGTTGTATTATTCAAATTGTATTATTAAAAATAAAGTGTTTAGCCTGTGTCCTCTGATGTACAATCGGAAGAGTCATTCGGATTCGCAGTCTCCACGGAACAGACCCGCTTAATGAGTTCGTTTTCAATCTCTACGGTCCCGTTGTCTACAGCCTCCTCCATCTGAACATACTCAATAGTCGCTTCGCTTTTCTTGGGCACCGGGGCACTGGTGGATGTCGAGGCCTTCACAGTCGGCGCCACCGTTTCCACAGAATTCTTGGCGCACGAGTCGGTATCGTCTTCAGCCTCCTCAGCAAGACTGCTCCGTTGTGGCTGGACGTCTGCGTATATGGCGGGATACTGCTGCTGCAGCTTCTGTTTAATAACTCTGATCTTCCGAAATATATGGTCCAGATCCTTTTTCATTTCGTTGAGACACTTTACGTGACGCTTGAAATCGTCATTGGCGTTTTTCAAACGGCTCTGGGACAGGGCATTGCAATTGAGCAGCATCTCATTGGTTTTCTCGAAACGCTGTAGCCTGAAAGGGGGATGTTCAAGATAATACAGTCTCTTAATAATCAATATTGTACAATACTTACATTTGCTTCTGCGCTCGTATCATCGTCTCCACATCCCCCTGATTAACCATTCCAGCCAAGTTCTGAATGAAGGCCTCGGCAGCGGAGTTGCCAAAGCCCGTGTAGGACTCCAGATCCGGTGTTGCATCTTCTGAATGGTTTGGATCCTGGATGTAAATGTGGCTCATGTTTCCTACTTGTTGGTTTACATTAATAAATTCGATTTTATTTACTCCTAAAGTAGTAACCACCTTTGTGCTATTACGATTCTTTGGATTTTTTTCACCTGCAGCTGTGTAGACAATATTGTGGCAATATTGATAGCTTCAATTCTGATTATCTGCTGGGTGAAGTATTCGGTAGTTTGTCCATCACATCAATATAGATTTGATCAGTTTCAAATTGTTTATAATTCTTTGTTTATTTCATATGTATTTATGTAAAACATACATAAAACGTACATATGATGTATTTTTCAGTGTTGTGATATGCAACAGAAGTAACATTATTTTGTTGGATATTAAAACATTTTTATTAGCTGAAGCGTATAAACATGACATAATGTAACAAAAAATGGTCTAAAATAATAAATAAATAAGCGCATCGTCCACTTTTAATATGATTTCAATATAAAAACCTTTATTCAAAACTTTTATTGGATGTGAAATAGTATGGTATTTTAGCGCCGGCAGTTTGCTGCCACATTTATTTTTTCGACCGCGATATTTTTTTGGAATTTTTTTTATTTTTATTTTAAAAATTAAAATGAAGCTCGCTCCAACTGTAAAGTTAAACAATGGCTACGAAATGCCTATATTGGGCCTGGGGACCTACGAGGTAAGTTACCGCCTTATAATTATTAACTTTTCTAGTTGTGAAATCGGAAGGGACTTTACGTATAGTACAGCGGACAATATCTTTATTGATGCATCTTGGACATTGTACTCTTATATGTATGTACCTATGTACATATGTACTACATACATATGTATGTACATATTTTTAGTTAAAGAAAACACGTTGTGAGAATGCGGTGCGCTATGCTCTAGAGTCGGGATACCGGCATATAGACACCGCCTACCTTTATCGCAATGAAGGGCTGATCGGAAAAGTTCTAAGAGGTCTGATAAGTGAGAGGAAAATAAAGCGGAGTGAGGTGTTTCTGGTTACCAAGGTAAGTGAGTCTGGGATGCAGTCGAAGATGTGTGTCTCTGTATACATGGCTACATCATAGCTTTGGGACATCTACCACGAACCCGAGCGGGTGCGCTACGCCTGTGATCTGCAATTGAAGCTGCTAGGCGTCGATTACATCGATCTGTACCTGATGCACTCGCCCGTGGGAGTGAAATATGTCTCGGACGACGATCTGATGCCACATGATGGTGACAAGCTGTGCACGAAGTGAGTTCTAGGCTGCTGCCCTACATCCCTTCATCCCTCGAGCTGATCTAATCTGGTAGATGCTCCCCCTCGTAGTGCCGTGGACTTTGTGGACACATACAAGAGCATGGAGCAGCTTGTTGACCTGGGGCTAGCCCGCAGCCTTGGCGTGTCCAACTTTAATACTCTCCAATTGGAAAGACTGTGGCAGAACAGCCGCGTCAAGCCAGCGGCGCTTCAGATAGAGTGTCACCCGGAATTGATTCAAACGCCATTGATGGAGTTTTGCAAGACTCGCGACATCGCTGTTATCGCATACTCGCCTTTGGGTCGTCCCAAGTCCTGCAGAGCCCTGCCCTCGTTCTACGCAGATGCTGAGGTGCTGGCACTAGCACGAAAATATGGCAAGACGCCTGCACAATTGGCACTCAGATATTTGGTATAATTAGCAGATAACTTACAAAAAGATCATTAATCGCTAACTAGTATAATTGTACCCAGCTGGATATTGGCACGATACCCATACCAAAGGCGGCTCAGGAGGTTCACATTTCCGAGAACCTGGATATCTTTGATTTCTGCCTCACGCCGCTGGAACTCCAGCAACTGGGGAAACTCAATCGAGGCCTGCGAATCTGGAAGTTTTCGAAAGCAAAAGATCATCAGCACTATCCATATGAGGCTTAGAATTTAAAAATGGGAAAAACTAGGGTTCACCTTCATGTTGTAATAAATGGCCGATCTGTTCAAAGTTGCTTGTACCTTTCTTTGGCCAAACGCTTTTGCTCCTCTGCATATGCTCGAATGTTGTCCCGATGGGTCTCTTCGCGCGACTCTGCTCGCTCCACTGTATTTACGCTGAAACGTACGCGTCCTCTTCTAAAGAAGCCCACTATTGCATACCAGATGCGCCGCACATAACACATTTCAGCTACCTATTGATTAAATGAAGAATCTGTGCTGTTTACTTGCAGTCAATTGACGGGGATGGGACGGCTGCCATTAAGCATGCGATTGATATTGGCTACCGGCATATAGATACCGCATACTTTTACCAAAACGAGGTCGAAGTGGGCCGAGCTATACGGGACAGAATTGCTGAAGGAGTTGTCAAACGCGAGGACATTTTCCTGGTCACAAAGGTATGTAGTGAAAGAGTCAAAATAACTCGAAGATCATCGCATTATATGTATGTCGAATGATGTTGCAGCTATGGAACGTACACCATGATCCGGGGTACGTTGAGCCTATTTGTCGCAAGCAGCTGAGAACCTTAGGCCTGGACTATATCGATTTGTACCTAATGCACATGCCCGTTGGCTACAAGTATGTGAACGAGGAGACTCTGCTGCCCAAGGATGACGAAGGAAATCTCCAGCTAAGCGACATCGACTACTTGGACACGTACAAGGCCATGGAGAAGCTTGTAAAGCAGGGACTGGTGCGCAGCATCGGCGTGTCCAACTTCAACAGCGAACAGTTGGCGCGTATTCTGGCCAACTGCGAGATAAAGCCTGTCACGAATCAGGTGGAGTGCTCCCCAGGGCTAAACCAGAAGCCTTTGACGGCCTTCTGCAAGCAGCACGGCATCACCGTCACGGCTTACTCTCCTTTGGGCCGTCCGAAGCCTGACGCTCAGAAGCCGAACTATATCTATTCGCCAGATGTTGTGGCCATAGCGAAAAAGTACGGCAAGACTACGCCCCAGATAGTTCTTCGTTACCTGGTAATACTTTTCACGAACCTTACTCTTGCGTCTCCCACTAATTAAATTTTCATTTGTGACAGATTGATTTGGGTACCATACCTATCCCAAAGTCGTCCAATATTAACCGCGTAACTGAGAACTTCGACATCTTCGATTTTGAGCTGACTCCCGAGGAGATCGCTGTGCTCGATAAATTCAACTGCGGCGAGCGTTTGGTGCCACTTAATTTAATTAAGGCCCAGAATCATAAGTACTATCCTTTTTCCATTGAGTTTTAAACCAAGTGCCAAACTAATACAAATAAACTACAAACGATTATAAAAACATTATTTGGTTTTACTCACGTTTTACTGACAATTTTCTGAAGGCACAACTACTTTTATTACATGTACATATGTATGAATGTTTGTAGCTGATCGTAATTGTCAAGGTCATCCGAGAGATCAACGCGCCCTCTTGATTCATTAAAACCATTGCACTGATCTTTACTCACCCCTCGCGATAGGTGTTTAGAGTGTAGAGAACCCAAGTAACATCTCCCCTCTCCAGCGACAATTGGCCAAATGGGAGCATAGACCTTTGCCATAGCACCTTCGACATCCAAGCCTATAAATAATTGTAATCCGAAAAAGAAGAGCTGGATTGGATAAAGTCTAGCCTTGGACTGGTTACAAATAAAGTTATAGAGTTGTAAAGCTGCTTTAAACAAATATTAAACAACAAAAATGATAGCCTCTGTCCCGAAGAGATTTCATTGTTGGCTATAAACTTGAATCTTGGGAGAGATAGTGTCTCTAAATACTCTTTCTATCCATACTACATACAATATTAACAGGGAGAGGGACAAGTCTATATCGGATTGTGGATCTGTGGCTGATGTTCCAGGAACACATATTTTCATATATGTATACTTTGTAGAACCGGAAATGATATAGCTAGAAAATATAATAATGATTATAATTTTTTTGGTTAGAATTGTGGATATTTTCGGTTATCGCTGGATCGAACTAAATTCCAAATATTCGGCAATGGGCATGTGCACGTTATTAGATGCGCCAAGATCCGAAATGATGCATGAAAATGTTATTACACCCATTACCATTACGGATGACTAATTATTTGTGGATTATTCAGTACACTGTATAATCTACTTACTTCCTAGGGGTACCTTAGGGTGACGTCACCTCATCGCATCAGCACCCCGCAGATGTTAAAAGATAATGAAAAACAACACGCGCTGAATGAATATTTTTGGTACTTCGCCTTTGAACCCTTGGATGGTAATTCGCGGCTGGCTTTGGTTTTAGGGGAAGATGATGATCATAGGATAGGATAGGTTCTTGGCCCCAATTTCGTAGTAAAGTTAGATTTTTTTTTGTAGCTTTGGTCTACAGATCTCTGCCATAATAGAAACGTGTCTTGTTTTTCAGGCACAAAATCATCCAAAGGCTTTTTAAAGAGGTCTTACATAGGACGGGACGGGACGTTGCTTCCACCAAAAGCGCAATATGCTGCCGCGTTGCGTCGCGTCGCGGCAGCGGTTCGGCTTGGATCGGCTCGGCTCGGAATCCCCACTCAAACTCCGACTCAAGCGTCAATTGAGTGGAAACACCAACGGCCGAGAGCGTGGCTTAAATAAATTTTCAGTTAACCAAAAATCGCCAGTTTCGCTCAAAGCGTCCCCACGTTCACATCGTCTCGACGCCAGTTGCGGAGCTCGCACCAAAAGCGGAGGAGATAGACTGAACCGATCCCCAAGCAACGCGCGCTATCACACATCCCATAACACACAGAAAGTGTTATATAATTTCTTACATTTTTCAATTTTTTTACTTGTGAAACTTCGGTCATTTTCGCGTACCGTACCCCCAGTACCCAGTACCCAGTACCAGTGCCAGTGCGTAAATCGAATCAAAAAGTGAGTTGAGGGGATCAGAATTATGCCATACATAGGACACATATATGGGCAGACAGTTGGTAAAAGGATTGAGAGGTACACATGCTCGGGAAAAGAAAAGCTTACTTGCGCAGCAAAGAAAAACTTTCGCTTTCACTCTGGGCTCTCGGGTCTTGGCTCTTGGCACAGCAGCAGTTGCGCATGCGCCAACGCTATTGCGGCATGCGTCGTTTGCTTGGCTTAACCTACTACCTCTTAGGATTTGTTTGGGCGTGTGGGGGGGGCGGGAGCGGGAGCCCATCCCATTAAGTTCGAGATCGAGGCTTTGACCTACGAAACATGGTCTGGGTCCCTAAAAAAGTCGTAATGCCTTAACAACTCACTCAGTGTGTACGGAAAGCGAGTAAGCGAGTACTTATCACTGAAGCATTAACAAGCACAACTAACTATTGACCCATTGCTGTTGCTGTTGCTGTTGCTGTTGATGTTTTCCCAAGCGATGAGTATGAGTCAATTACAATATTACGAGTGTAGCCAACTTTTGTAGCTTTGTTCGCTGTCTTAATTGTGAAACCAACACCAAAGGCCTGCAAGGTCTTGTCCCCCGAAGTTGGCCAACGCCATAAAGCGCAAAGTGGATTGGATGGAAAATGTACGTGGTGGTAGTGGTGGTGGCGGTGGTATATAGTAAAAATGCAAGTTGTGTGCTGTCTGTCCGTGGGTTGGCTTAGTACTCGTATAAATATTCATGGCAAGTACTTTTATTGTGCAATGTCCATGGACGTGATTTCCTTTGGTCAACCTCGACTAGAAATCTGCGAGGAATGGAATCGATTCCCATAGATACTATCTAGACATCTAATGGAGTGGTAGTCGTAGGCCATCCAATAGTCAGCCTTGGAACGTGCTTGTAATTCCAGATGCGTTAATGAAGCCCGCTGATTACAGTTCGAAATTCGAATAATAGATTCTGTCAGATCATTTTGACACATGAATACAAATCGCTACTCATGCGCCGAACATTAAGGTTCTGGCCCAGACGAACCGAATTGTACAATGCACCAGTCCAGTCGCTGATGCCCCGTAATTGAGGCAAATGCAATCTATACGATAATACGGAAAGGAAAATGAAAATGCAAATTTGTCGAGTCGTAAAATCGAAATTGAGCCAAAGCAACGAACGAATTGCCTGCCAATGGGGCACGGTCATGGGGTGGGATTGAGCAAGTAATACCTTACTTTGGAGGAGTGTACGGATGGATAGCAGTGTGGATAGTAGTGCTGGTTGGGGAGCACCAGCCTGGAGCAGTCAGAAACCAGTTTTGAGCGTATTTTTGGGGCCTGCACTTTCCACTCCTCTCCACTCTTCTCCTCCACTCCACTCTACTCCACTCCAAGCTTAATGCTGGACTTATAAGACGGCGTATAAACGTACTTCGGCTGTGGCTGTGGCTATAACTGTGGCTAGCTTTTATGCTGTGATGTAACCATCGGGCTAATTGGCAGAGCGGATGCCCGAAGAGCAAAAAAAAAGAAAAGAAAGAAGAAACTGAATTGTTACGAATCGCATGTTTCCAGCCATCGCCGCATCTTCATCTTCATGTTCATCTGGTCGGGTCTGCTGTCCCCATAAATGATCGAGTTGCCACAATCCATTGCCATTCCCCTGAATGCTGAATGGGTTATGGGCTACTTATGTACATGTATGTATGTATGTATGGCCTTATGTACCATGCATACAATATTGTATATTTCGATATGTGCAATAAATTGAGCGTATTCAAAGCAGGGCATGTTACACGTTTAATTTTACAACAGAGCCTTAACTGATTAACCTGACGGACTGATGGACTGACGGACAGTTCGTTTGTTGTACGTTGAAAACTGTGTGAAGGCCATGAAAGTGGAAAAAACTTGATTTTGGAATCGACTAGATATGGCATGGCATGGCATGGCATGGCCTATGTGGCGGTCTGGTTGCTCGCTCGTAAACAGTTTGTTGACCAAAAATACATACATAGTCGGTCTCTTCGCTGTTTATTTAGTGGCTGTGGACTTAAGCAGCAGCCGCAACAGCCGCAGCAGGCGAGGAGGGCTTTCATTAAGGCAAGTCAAACACGTAATTATAGGGCAGTTACCCAGCCAATCCAATCCAGTCCAGTCCCGACCATCTCTCTTTTGACCTTCGCTTTATTTTGGATGGGATGGGTTTCGGATGGATAGAAATTTAAATGCCGATTAAATGACAACACCAACGACGGACAGCAGCAGACAGCAGAGATCGGACGATACCGCTTTCATATGCAAAACTAAACTGGCGGCCGTTTTTGGGTCACGGTCAATGGAACCAGCTTCCAAAACAGCTGGAAAGTTACGGAAATGATAGCGCCACAGCCGCGGTCGCCGCCTCCGCCTACAGATTAGCCAACAAAGAGATATCATGCATATTCAAATCGATGTGGGCATCATCTACAGCTGAAGAGCCATTGCACTCCTCCATCCACCAGCCACCAGCCACCATCCACCATGACACCTAAGACTTGGCTGCACAATAGTAGTAGTCATAGATATATGTGTTTGCATAGGTATGCGCTGATGATGTGGGCTACTAAACTGTGGTGACCCTTGAGAGTTCGATGATTTTTAGCGTGTTTCGGGGTTGAGCAAGCGCACTCAGCGGACACCGCAACGGTGTCTTTGGCTGTGCCTTGGTCTGTGTGTGTGTGTTCAAGGCCGACCAGCCAATTAGTGATCAAGAAAATTAATAGCCAATGCGATTTTAACCGGTCAACTTTTTGATTTGCTTTGCTTCGCTTAGTGCTCGAAACAGAGGTGCTGCAACAACCAAAACTCAATGGTCCCATGGCCAGCGGTGGCGACTATGACTACCCGTATGTGTGCGGCCTCAGTGCCGACATGAAGGTGGTGGCCAAGGAGGAGCTGCACGAGGACGAGAATATACGTCGGCAGGCGCTCGCCCAGTTCCGGGAGTGGATCGACAAGCATCCGCATATCAAGAAATGCCGCACCGATGCCGTCTTCCTGCTGCGCTTCCTACGCACAAAAAAGTTCTCCGTTCCGTCGGCCTGCGAGATGCTCGAGCGTTACCTGACCATTCGCCAGCTGTTCCCGCAGTGGTTCCAGCATCTGGACATCAATGATCCGGCCATAAATGAGATATTCGAGAATGGTTACCTGGTGCCGCTGCCTCAGCGGGATGCCATCGGGCGCCAGGTCATCTTCTCGGTGGCCGCAAAGTTCGATCCTTACAAGGTACGAGACCATTGATCATTGTATACTACAAAAACATATGCAATAACGTTAAATAACTTTATTTTCGATTCAGTTTACTTCTGTGCAAATGGCTCGTGTGCACAGCCTCATTTGCGAGGCCCTTCTGGACGATGAGGACTCGCAGGTGGCAGGATACGTATACATCAACGACGAGAGTGGCATGAATATGGGATTTGTCAGCCTCTGGTCGCTGACCGACCTACGCAGCATTGTCAAGTGCATCCAGAACTCGACACCCATGCGACACAAGGAGACCCACTTCGTCAATATACCCCACTACGCCAACAGAATCATAGAACTGGGCGTGTCTATGCTCAGCGACAAGCTGAAGAAGCGCATAATTGTAAGACGAACACTCAATTCAGTGACACAATCCCTAGACGCGCTAAGCTCTGGTTTTCCCCTCGTTTCCATAGGTCCATAAAAATGTCGATGCTCTGTCCAAGTCGAAGATAGATCCCGCCATCTTACCAAAGGAATATGGCGGCACTGTGCCCATGGCGGAGATGATTGCCCAGTTCAAACAGAAATTGGTGCAGCGCCGTGCTGCCATTCTCGCCCTGGACGACATGCGCATCGAGATCACCAAGGATGCGGCCAATTTTGCGGGCAACGATATCGGAGACCTCGACGCCGGAGTAGTCGGTAGTTTTAGGAAGCTGGAAGTGGACTAGGAACCCCGCCGGAGGACCTTGATCGTAGACTAAGCTAGGATTAGGTCACATTACCATTGAGACAACTGACAAATACGCGCGGGCATGCACACTTTTCGTACCTATTTAAAGCATTAACACTAAATTATATTTGTAACTACAATGCAATTGGGAACTCTCTGCATCTCTCCCTCTCTCCCTCGTCCTTCCCTCCGCTCTCAGGACACACCGATGCCAGGCGGTACAGGGGTATCGCCAGAGGACGAAGTTGCGGTTGAGTTTTCGAGTTGTATCTTCGATCCATGCGTTATGTACTGTTACAAAAAAATGTCTATTTAAATATATGTATATATTCTTGTGAATTTGAATTATTTGAAACATCCTAGGTATTTCATTATTCGGTGTATTTCCTTTGAGTGGTTTCTATATATTTTACATATGGGCGGGAATCAGAAAACAGTTCCGCAAATGTACCTAAAACGGGTCTGAAAAAAACGTTAAAATATGATTGCGATCAGGCCCTTAAATTCAGACACTTTATAGATTTCCTTATGGATATTACCGGAGAGTGTATCCATAAAATGGTTAATACATGGCACTACCATAATGTATACCAGTAAATTTTAAATTAATAAGCTAGTATTTCGTATCACAGCTTATCCGAACCGAACAGAACGGTTGAGAGGTCGTGAGTGTGGTGTATGGTGTCATTGGAGACATACTGATTCGGTTGTTGAACGCAATCCCTGTTAAACAGATCCAATTATGGGTACAATACATTTACAGACGGCACGAGGAGGGTTATTCTGGGGCACACCACACTCAAAGCCGGATGGGATGGCAGGGAACAACGAGGCGTGCCGTGCCAGCGATCGTAATTAGTTCGTGTCTGAAGAAGTAGTTGCTCTTTTGTAGCGCGATAACGGTGACACAGTCGTCGGCCCCCGGCCCGGCCTCGAGAGAATCTTAGTGCATTCTATAGCGGCAAGAGAACAGAGCTCTCCGTACGAAAGTTCTTTTGCCTGTGCTTGGCTGTGTGTCTGTGTGTGTGTCTGTGTGTATCCATACTTGCGGACGTGAGAATGAGTGTCGGCATTATGATTGTACTCTTTATTATATGGCCGCAATACGAAGTAATTCTCAAGTTAACTTTTCAGTTGAATCGGAGCGCGCGAGCATGAGCATCATCCAGAGAGAAGGCACCGCGGCTCCAATCTTAATTTAAGTTGTTAATTTTCGCGCTCTGTGCCTGTGCTAAATGACCTTAAGTGATTCTCGACCTACCTGTACGTAGAAACCCACGAGCTGAGTAATTCCAGTAGTAACGCGATCAGTCTCTGGAACGGCGGAGTATTCTAGTACCTAATACATATACATATGTATCCCTGAAATGCAATAATTTGAGCCGATGAAAATCTATGAAATGTTTATAAGTGTTGTTGTCTATTGGGGAGAATCATCGGGTATCTATGTGTAATTCCAACGGTCACGATTTATTGACATGAGCAGTTTACTTAGCAAGTGAATGAGAGAAGCGAGAGCGAGCTTTCCCACACAAAGAAATCAAACAGAAAGCTTTGGGCGAACAGCTGTTCCAGTGTACGAACTAAGCTTTGGGGTTTATTGCTCTCTGAGCATGTGACAGCCGCCACTGGCTGCACTTTCCAGCCGGAGAGATATTTCTCTATCTCTCCACCACCACCACCCCCACCCATCAAAGGTAGCTCCAATTTTTATCAGCACGAAGTACGAGTCACACAGATAAGGAGAAGCCGGCGGGTGTTAAGTCATTTTCAAAATTTATCGCTTCGTTACTTTGCGCAATCGAATGGGAAGGGAGAACGCGACGCGTAATGCAGTGCGTAGTCGAGTCGAACCCCCCTCCGAGCAACAATCATGAATAAGCTACGATCCCTGCTGCCGGGCCAACAGACGCCCTCACAGGCCTCCTCCCGCCACTCGGTGGCACTAGAGCCGGAGATTGGCTTTCAGATCACCATCGACACCGCTGGCGGCGAGAGTGCTACCAAGAACACAGCGGCAGTGCCCGAACTCAATGTCCATCTCATAGCCGCCCGACATCTTCCCTCCCTGTTCGGGTTCAAGATCGTTCAGGGGTATTTGATAAAGGTAATGATGATTTATATCGCTTTCCATATCGTTTGAATGACTCTCTCTTTGTACTGCTATTCAGGTGAAGTTATTTCCCGGAACGAAGCGCTTGGACAGCAGCATTCAAACCAACACGTGGCCAAAGTTCAATGAAAACTTCAAGTTTCCACTGGTTCCAGACATTAAGTAAGAACTATGGCCCGCTTTTCCGCTGTCAGTGAAATTAAAAGTTTCATTAATCAGATCTTCACTGAAACATGGCTCCGCACGGGACATGCTGTCCCGCCGTTCCACCAATAACCACCAGCAGACAAGCCAAACGATTCACGTCCCAGAGCCGGACGAACTTTTTGCCGGCCAATTTGTGGTCTTCACCGTGTACGCTCTCCTGGAACTACCTGCCGCAGTGAGTCAGTCAGTGAGTGATCCGCCCGCCCCTTTGTTGGCTAACATCCCTGTTTTAACAGAGTTTTAATCGCTTTAACAAGACATACCGATCGCTGAAGGAAAGGAGCTCCAATTTTGTGCAGCGTTTGGTTGACTCATCGCCGGGTACTCCCAACGAATCAAAGCCCGAAGCTCTCGGCAAGCCGAACGACGGAAAGACGAAGAAAAAATCGGAGAACCCAAGGGATGCCATGCCACCGTTGACCATCAGCGAGTCCCGGAGGAACATAGGTGAGTGTCAAGTGGGGACACACACATTCTTCGAAACTTCGCTGATCGGTTCTCTCAGGTTCCGTCACTTGCTACCTGGAGCCCAAACTTTTTAAGCGGAATGCACGAACTGGGTGCTATTCCTCGGAAGAGCTATGGCTTCCCATCAAAGATATAACGACGACGGTCTCCAAAACATCGTCCAGCAGCAACAACAACAATAACACTGTAAGTTAGAAATAAAGAAAGACATAACTACTGCTTGTGCGTACATATATGACTGTTACCAAATAACCTGACCCGAACTTGTGTTGACATGGCGCCCAAGCGTTCCAGCGGCCCAGTGTATGTTTTTCAACGTAATGGAGATGTACCTTAATTGTCCAGAGTGAAAGCTGACTCCGCCGATTGCAGTTGGGAAACCACAACAACACAAGAAAACAAATTATTTGGAATGGCAATCCCAACAGCTAAATTAATTGTCGCACTTTATTTCCAGCTTAATAACTCTCCCAAAGGCGTTGTCGAGCTGGCCCTCGAGGTGCGCGATCTCGGCGAGGGGGAGCCACCAGAAGGCGGCGGCATTCCCGAGACGACTCCGACGCCAACTCCTGCACCAGGACCTGCATCGAACAATTGGCAACGAATGACCGCCGAGGTGAAGCGGAAGATGGGCATGAGCAATGCCAGCCATATCGAGTCCGGCAGATACGTTCTGCGCGTTACGACCACGCGCATGCGCTGCTCTAACAAAGTCAAGGATGAGCTGGAGGCCACGGCCAGTGCTGGAGTCTACGTGAAGACCACTGCCTTTGAGCATGGCATCTACATAGATGCCTGGAAGTCGCCCAACTTCTTCCCATCGCTCTCTACCAAATGGGACGATGGTACGGACGCCAATGAGGGAACAATAACCATCCCGCTCCGCAGTCTGGAGCAGCTGGAGAACATTGTCATACGGGTAACACTGGCCACGAAGAAGATGGGCAAGAAACTGGTTCTGGGCACAGTTCTGATCGGGGGCGATCGTGCTGGGGACACGGGCTCGGAGCAGATGCGTCTTATCCGGGAGACTCCACCCGGCGAGCGGGTGGCTGCATGGCACTGCTATCAATAGTATCCAGCTCTAGCCCAAGATGAAAGCCAAGCAATTCCATGCCAATGTAAATAGCATACGTTTTAGCCATTTAATATCCAAATCAAAGTGTAGGTTTCTACGTACTCATATGTGTACTTTTCGATCATAAAATTATTAAATTTAATTGTAAACAGTAAAGTATTTCATCGGGAAAGTTGGTTCATTTCTCATCGTCGACGGCGTGTAACACTTGGTTTACAACCAGCAGCGGCACCTTCTCATGATTCGGCGGCGTCTGGATCAGCAAAGAAACAGACGGACGGACGGACAGACAGACATATGTGCGTGCCCTGGCCTGGGTTTTTCGCTTGGAGGAAGCTACATATACGAAATACTACGTAAATTTTTCCCACTATCCCACTATTCCAACGCACTGTGCACGGCCGAAATGTGTGTGGAAAAAGTCGTCGCATATGGGACGTTTTTTTCAGCTCCGAGCGAACGTTGGATTGGCGTCCGCTCAGTTCTCGAGAAGCCGTCGGTTGGATCGGATCGGATCGTTGTGTGCTCTGCTACTTCGCTACTGTGCTACTGTGCCACTGTGGTGTGGAGTTATGAGGAGAGGCAACGCACTACGGATCGCAGTTCTTGTGGTGTGGCTTATGCCTCTGTGCCGCTGATTTTTTGTCTGTGTAAAAATAAAATTGCTCAAATACGAAATACATAAAGTGCCTGTCTAGTGCGCGAAGCTGCCTTTTGAGAATATTGAAAAGCAGGTAAACATTGGGCAAACGTTGACATTCGACTCGAATCGAATCGAATCGAAATTACCTTCAAAATGCATCTCCTATGATTCGGAAAAGTTGCGAATCGAAGTGCAGTTGCCGCCTGATATACGAGTATGTACGACATATAAGTTTCATTCATGACAACAATCTGTGTTCGAATATACTATGCTATATGCTGATCTGCATTCATGCGAACTCTGATACATACATACATACATGTACATACATGTACATGAGCATATATGCACATATGTGCTCTCATCTGTGTTTAAAATGCGTTTAATTCATCTGTTGAAAATGGGCGGCACTGTTCTGGGGTGTTTGGTGGAGTAGGGGGAGGTGGAGGTGGAGGGGGGAGGAGGCCGAGGGAGAGGCATCTTTGTGATGGCATCTCGCCGACGTATCTGCTGCGGCAGTGTGCGTGCGCCAGTCGAAGCATGATTTATTTTCAACAACTTCCGCCAACAACTTAGTCGCCGCAGAACCACATTTACATAGTGTAATGCGTAGCCTAATACAAAAGAAATCGAAAACGGTTTCCGATACAAGCGACCGGACTACGGGTCCCGCCGACTAATAAATTAAGAGAACCCGAATCTGTGACGCGATTTCGGCCACCACAGCCACTGCCCGGTGGGCTGCCTGCCCACCGCTTCCCACCGCTGCCCACCAGATAGACAAAAGCTAACGAAGCTCGATCTTTCGGTAATCGGTGCGGTGCGTCATTAAAATTGCATTTCGTTAAACGGGGGCGCCCGCGGACCTGCCACTGCAACGCAGCGCGACAGCTGCTCGGTCCAACCAGACACTGTGGCTGGCTGGCTGGCTGGCCGGCTAGAGATCGGGTGCAAATAAGCACACATCCCAACCCACTAGTGGACCCACCAGTGGCCGCTTAGCCAACGCATCTGTGGAAGTTGTTGATCTCTGGCCAGAGATCCAAATTTGTACATTTCATTCATAAAAAGCGAAGAGCCGAGCAGAGCAGAGCAGAGCAGAGCAGAGCAGAGCGTACTGTTTCCAAACAAAATACGCCACAGCCACAGCTACAGCCACAGCTACACAACCTATTGACCGACCACATGCCGAGAAGGTGTGGGTGTGGGAGGGCCTGAAGATGGGTTGCAAGATCATGTTTGGTTTGTGCTGGGCGTTGGGTGGGATCAAGTAAACATATTTATTTATGAGCTCTTTCGCCCATTAGATATACTCGCAAGTATGCAAAAGGTGGGATAATTTGATAAACGGACATTTGGCTTCCGAGCCACCGCCACAGGCATTTATTTTCCAAATCCAACATCTGGGTAATATGCGATAATTTTATGGTGCGAGTATTTATGACGCCAAGTCGACGCGTCGACCCCGTCATAGTTGATTTTTAATCGCACTTTGTCAAGGTAAGGCAAAGCGCTGTGGTTGCCGATGCTGCCGAAGGCGGAGGTGGAGGTGGAGGTGGAGGCGGAGGCGGTGCCATTGGCGGCTGCGGGTCGCCAGTGGCAGCTAGCGGTTTGTTTACCCGGACAGATCACAGATCGCAGATCGCAGATCGGGAGGGAGGCAGATCTCGGGAGACTGACTGCCTGAGACTGCCGGAGACGGAGACGGAGACGGCTTCTCTGTTTGCTGCTCTGTTTGCTATGCGGACGCATCGTGTTCTAATTTAAGAATCCGCGTCGCTCCACGCACACACAAATGTACTATTTCCGTCTACTATATGACAATTAGGGTGGACTCTTCCACTTGATACTGGCATCAAGTAACATAGTTCTTGTGCTATAATACCAGTCGCTTTATTGCTAGAAAGTGTAGATATAGTACAGCCTTAAAAGATATGGTAAAACTTTTCGAAATAATATTATTATATGTATATTCCAGCGGGAAATGTCCACCTTAATGCATACCCATATATCGTCAGGTGTATGAATAGTTCTCTAGCGCTTTATTTGTTGTGGAATTTTATTTCCAACCGGCGAAAACATTCTTCACTTCACAGCACAGCAGGCAGGAGGGCGGACAGGCGGTCGGGCAGGCGGGCAGGCGGGAAGCGTTACCCAATATCATCTTATTGGATTGCTTATTAGATGGAAGCGCTGACACAACACCCATAGACATTTCTCGAGTGTATTTCAGGCTTGTAGTACGAGTACAATAGTGTTTATTATTTGTGGAAATTGTACACCTATGATTGATTGATAAACAAGGCAAATATCGGTTTAGTTTTCTTAAATGGAAACCTGATAAACATATGTATTTGTTGTATACATTTCTGGTATGTTTTGGTCATTGCGGGAAGAACCAGAATCCGCTAACTGGAGAGATGCATCTGCATCTGCATCGTGACAGAGCCAGAGCCATAGCCATAGCCAGAGCGAGCGCCAGAGCAGCCCTGTCGCCTTGCGGCTGTCCTTAATGGTGGGAGCTGGTTTCAGCGCATCTGACCTTATATGTATGAGCAGCAGATACGAGATACTTGGGTCGCCATCTGAATATGGTCAACATTCAGTGTTGACGTAAGATCGATGTACTGTACATACGCGTGAACCAACAGGCTGTGCTCGTTGCTGGTTGCTTCTGCTGCTTCTGGGACTACTTAAAATTCCTCGGTGCAGTTGGGATTCGAAAGCGGTGAGAGGTGGGGGTGGGGGTGGGGATGCGAGTACGAGTACCAGTACGCGAGTATTAGTTTGCCAGACCCCCCCCCTTACAAACACTCGTACCCCAAACCGACAAAGGCACTCGCATCCCACAATCCCCAGCATCAGCACCAGCACCAGCATCAGCATCATCCCAATGCTGTGCCTTTGAAAAAAATGTATGTACATAGTTTATCTTTATGTTTTTGTGCTTTTTTTTTTGTTTTCAATTTTCCCTTCCCCATTCCCCAGTCTGCTTGTAATTAGTACATGTATGAGTATGTAGCTAATTAATTTTCACTTTCTGGCCCACGCTTTTGATCGCTTTGGGCTAAGGTCTTATACAAGTTCAAATGTTTTTGCTTTGTAGTGGGAGTGGGAGCGGGATCGGAGCGGAGCGGGAGCGGGATCACATCGGCATTGGCATCGTTTAATTGTGCAGTGCCACAAGGAGCGGAGCAGACTTCTTGGATTGTTTTACTTTGACGCAAATGAGTCGCTTAGTTCGGGTAAATTAGGCAAATGAATTGGCACTTAAAAGCATGTCAGATGAGCATGAGGATGAGATGAGTCCCCTTTGAGAGTACCCTACCGAACCGAACCACACGTACAAGTACAGGTTCAAGTACAAGTGCTTCTGCTTGTGCAGCCAACATGAAAGATACAATACATTATATAAGATAATTGGATTATTGCAAAAACCAGTAGCCTTTCTTTGGCTTCTGTTGCGCAACTGTCGCCATAGGAGGATCTCTTTCTTACTCTAAAATACAGAACATTTTGCCAATACTTTTCCGAATCATTAATACAGTATTGTACTATTCTTTCTTTTCTCTATTAGACGTACAGTGCATTTATCACGTCCCCGGGTGGACGGTCTATTATCCAACACAACGACAACGAGATCATTAGCAACTAAGCATGAAAGTAATGTGCTATATTTTTGAATTCCTGTCAGTTGTTCAACTGCTGGTCGAAACTCAGGTGAGTCTATTGAATGCTCGGATGCCGGTACCCATACCGATATCGATGCTGACATAAAATACCGATCGCCCACCCACTTGACCTAGCTATTTGAATATTACGTCAACTCGAAACAATTCGATTCCATGGGGAACGGAACGGTGTGGTGTGTACTACTAACAATTGCAAGGTCAATTACCGCGTCCAAATTAGTCGCACTCTCGGTTTTTTTTTTGTTTTTTGTCATTGCTGATTGGGAAACGAAACTTATGTATATGTAGGTTGAAAATCGGGTCCGGAACGATGTCAGAGTCTCCTTGAGCTTGAGGTGGTGCCGGGGGCATTGCATGCGGCTCGGTTCGGTTCGTATTTCCGCATGATTTCATGAGAATTTCGCGGCTCCAGTGTTCCCCAAAATTTGATAGACAGACGGCCATGACCTACGGGGGATTTTACTAAAGGTGGATCTCAGTGTGGGAATTTAGTTGATATGACGATAGTTATAGAGCAATATACCCTGTTCGATACTTGGGTTCATTTATTCTTCAATAACTACTAAATATTTATGGCATACTTTTGGGGAGATCCGTATCCCGAAACGACAAAGATCCCAAAGCAAACAAAATGCAATTACTACCTCTGTAAGCAACAGTTATATGGATTTATATAGGGATACGCGGCTGCCATCGAAGCCTATTTTAGACTTGGGATGGATGTGGCTGTGGCTGTGGATGTAGGGATACGACAATCGCCAGCTCTGCCGTGTCGGCAAAAAGCGTATGTTATTTATAGCGGCCGACGGCGCGTCGCATTGGGAACTGGAGCTGGGACCGAAGTACTTTTCTCGGAGACGAGATCCCAATGCGAACGCAGACACCGAAACTGTCGAGAGCAATGACACTTCAAATAAAAAGCGGCGACATCTCGCCTGTGCCATTGTCTGATTTATGGCAGATGGGTGAAGCTGGGTGAAGCAAATGTTGAGGGGCTGCCTCCTTAGGGCCTCCGACCGGCCTAAGGCGGCGGCTGAAATGGGAGTCCGAAACTGTGGGTCGCAGATCGCATTACACGTCCCGTCCCATAAAACAGGAAACCGAAGCCTTCTCTGTTGGTAATTGAAATGCTTTTCCCCGTCAGAGTGGGCACGTCCAAGAGGCGAAAAGGTCCATAAATGCAGAGATACGAGACGCACTGGGCCACCATCGGTCGTACCATGGCTCCCACTGGATCGACGGAAAGCGGGTCCACCGGATGCGTATGCCCCACCAGCGCTGGAGTGGCCGGCGACGGTCGATCAACCATCACCAGCCCTTCAGCCGCTGGACCCAGTGGACGCCCTGTGACGAGGAGTGCGTAAAGCGGCGGGAGCGATACTGCAAGGCGAAGCGCCGTTGTGGTCACACCAAGCACGTGGAGCAGAGCAAGTGTCGACGGTGAGTGGCGAGGAGTTTTAGGTCTTGATTCAAATATCTATGGTGTTCAATATATCTATGTACGGTATGTGTGCTATGCATTGCAGCTGCCATCCGGCACCACATCCACCTATGAAGTGGCATCAGACAATAGCCAGAGAGCCGGTGCACATCCAGCAGGAGCATCACAGCCAGCCGTCGATAATCATCAATGCAGCGGCTGCTGCTTCAAGTGGTCCCTCTTCTACATACGCCACGGCACACCCGCCAGAACCCCCCACCAGCTATTGGCCGCCAAGTCCTCCCCACGAATCGGTGGAGGTGGTGCACAGGGTGCCATCGCATCGTCCCAAAGTGGTGTACAGCGAGGAGGATGAGGAGCAGGAGCAGGAACAGGAATCTGATGACTCGGGGTACTCCGGAGAGCGCGGCGACTTCTTTGTGCTCAAACACAATCGCCACAGGCGACGACAACGCCCCAGGAAGCGTCCGCAAAGGATTAAAAAGCCGAGCTACTCCTACGAAGATGATGATTTTGACGACTATTTGCAGCCAAAGTCCCTGCGGCCACGGAACATGATCGTGGACAGCAGCAGCGGCCTAGAGGGCGACATTTTCCAGTACGAGGACTTTGATCTCGAGCAGGAGAACCTCGAACCGGAGTCGGAGGAATACCTCGACTTCCGAAACGACAGCTGGCCCCAGTCGCCGAAGGAACGATACACGCCAGACGGACTCATTCCACGCCGCAGACGTATTTACTCCAAGTGGAGCCGGTGGAGCAGGTGCACTCCGAAATGCACCACGCGACGCTACAAGTAAGATTGAGCCACTCCTGACGAAGTCGTCCCTAACCCCCAGCTATTCCTTTTATCCTTCTCTCAGAAAGTGTCGAATCAACGAGCAGTGCGGTCGCGAGGTGCTCCGCGAGATCGCCTACTGCTACACGGAGGGAAGCTTCTGCCAGCAGTGGCTGCAGACCCAGTTTCAGAAGACGCCCGCCTATGAGACGAGGCCTGGTCCCGGCTCAGCTCCTGCCATGCAGCGCAGGCAGTCGGACGCCGCAATGAACAGGCTTACGAACAACGAACTTGGGGTAATCATGACCAGCAAGGGCTATCGTGGGCCAGAGTACACGCCGATCAAGCTCCACTGCGGCATCGCGCGCAGCGGGAGCGGACGACGCAACATGAACAACATGCTGAAGATTATTGGTGGCAAGGCGGCTAGAAAGGGGGAGTGGCCGTGGCAGGTGGCCATCCTGAACCGCTTCAAGGAGGCCTTCTGCGGAGGCACGCTCGTTGCGCCCAGCTGGGTCCTTACAGCCGCCCACTGTGTTCGGAAGGTGCTCTACGTACGCCTAGGTGGGTATTTCAAGAAAAATTAGTCCTGGGACAGCTAGCTATATGATATGACCCACAGGGGAGCACAATCTCGACTACGAGGACGGATCCGAGGTGCAGCTGCGGGTGCTGAAGAGCTTTAAACACCCGAACTTCGATAGGCGTACGGTCGACAGCGATGTGGCACTTCTAAGGTGGGTAGAAATGCGTCTAACTAACCTGGAAACTCCTCCTCAATCTGCCAGTCTCTTTCTCTCTCCAAAGGCTCCCTAAGCCAGCCAATGCCACCACCTGGATTGGCTACTCTTGTCTGCCACGACCCTTTCAGGCACTGCCCAAAAATGTGGACTGCACGGTGATCGGATGGGGGAAGCGTCGCAACCACGATGCGGCGGGCACGAGCGTGCTGCACAAAGCGAATGTGCCCATCATCCCAATGGATAACTGCCGAAACGTTTACCACGACTACACCATCACAAAGGTACTTATCAATATACAAGACTCTATCGGGATCCTATATGGGAATTCTTTATTGCAGAACATGTTTTGCGCTGGTCACCGCCGTGGACTCATCGACACCTGTGCCGGGGACTCGGGCGGCCCTTTACTGTGCCGTGACACCACCAAGCCCAACCATCCGTGGACCATCTTTGGCATAACTTCGTTCGGCGATGGCTGCGCCAAGCGCAACAAATTCGGAATATATGCCCGGGTGCCGAACTACGTCGACTGGGTGTGGTCCGTGGTTAACTGCAATGGAAACTGCAAGATGCAGTAGTCATTGCTGATTTATTTTTGATTTATTGATGCTGGGGACTTGAGTCCGATCTGTAGCAGAGGCTGTGAAAGATTAATGTATACCTTAAGTGCCTTAAGATCCGTGAGGTAAATCCTCAGATTACGAGCCCAAACTTATGAAAGCTAGAAGTTCCCTAAATAAGTCCATGCATGTAATTAAGTCTATTCGGAAAGGGTTTAAAAAAAACCATTCAAACGATGTTTCGACTCCAAATCTCGTTCTAGCTGGGCTCCCTTATGTACATAGAAACTCGTAAATAATTTTTTTTACTCGACCCAACTTTATGTTATATGTTAAAAAGTTATATATGTATGTATATCTCGTATTCCCGTAAGCTAAGTTAAGAACATGCAGAAATCTGAGATTCACCAATGTACTTAACCACAGTTTAGTTGGCAGCACACTTTTAATGAACATTTTTAAGAGATTCAACAATCAAATCAATGTGTAAATAATGCAAGTATTTGACTTTTTACCCTGTCTAATAAGTATTTTAATGATCAATTAACGAAAATGTAGTAGAATAGCAAATTAAGTCAATTAAGTCAGGTCTGATGGCAGAAACGAAACCCGTTTAGATCAGTCTAGAGCTATTTTGAATCGAAGTACCCAGATGGGTACACGATTTATGGCGCTATTGGAATTGCTATGGAATTCAAGAGATCTACAGAATTGAGCAGAATTCATATACATATGTAATCAAAATTCCAACAATTCCAAATTCTGCTGCTCTGCTGATAAATCATTTCCTGAGATGTAAAACAGATGAACGCAGGAAGGGAAATACCAAAGATCGAAAGAAATGTACATTATGCATTAGTTTATATTTATTGGTGTTAAATGCCGCGCACGCTTTTTATCCACAATAAAATTATTTAACGTGACCCCTATACACATTTTTTTACCTCTACGAGTACACAATGGATTATAAAAACAAACGATCACAAGAGAGAGGTGAGTGTGCACACGCGCACACTTGCAAATAATAGTATATCTGTATATAAAAAAATTCCGTACAAAGATCTACATATAGGGGGAGGAGTCCATCCGATTGGCATCCCAGCTGCCTATTTGTCAGTCAATATGTAGTGAAGGGCCACCGACGTCATCAGCACCAGGAGGGCGACGGCAATGCCCAGCATATAGAGGCTGCGCGACAGCTCCGGGTTTGGCATCGAGCTGGTCGTGCTGCGTATGTCGTCTTCTTGGTCTCCGCTTGCAAGGACGTTCGCAAAGTTAATATCGTCCGGCTGTCCCTCGGCATCCATGGTAATTGCTTCTGGGTCCAATTCCACGTCAAGGATTTGCTTTGCCTGTGCCACGACAACGGTGGGAGCCTCACCACGGAATAGGTATTCAGAGAACTGCACAGCGACGGCGGTAGATGTACTCGGGCCTTCTGAAGGTAGGCTAAAGAATACTCGACGTGGCGGCTCGCTTATAAAGGTGGCTTCGTTGGTGACGTATGGGTCCGTAAGGCCATCGCAGTAGACTTGGATGCGCGTTGTCAATGAGCGCAGAACGTCATCGCGCAGGTAGCGCTTCACGTCCGCGATGCTGTTCCGCGCACTGCAGTAGATGCGCGTAGAGATGATACCGCTCATACGCAGACAGCCGTTGAACTCGCGCACCTTAATATCTGTTGGCTTGGCAAGCTGACACTTTACCGGGAGTAGAATGCTGGCACGAATGATCTCAGATCCGCCAACGAATCCTTGTGAGCCCATGAGGCGCAGAGCATCGGATACATCGCTATCTGATGTTGTCGCAGAGTTACCCGCTGCGGCTTTGAGTTCTTCTTCTTTGCTTTTACTCTTCTTAATGTAGGTCTGCAAGTCGATGGTGTCCTCGACGAACTCGTTCTGAAGAAACACCTCGCTGACAAGAATGGTTTTGCGAAATGCAAGTATAACATTTTTAAGCTGGTCCTCTATGTTGATCCGACGCACCGTTTCCACTATGGGCAAGATGTCCTCCAAGTCGTATGAGCATTCAATCTGTATCCACTCGAACGGCCTGTCCACAAACTTGAACTCCATGTTGGAGAAGGTACCTCCGCTGTCAAGGGACAAGATAAATAGAGTTCGCATTAGTCCGTCAAGCGAGGCACAATTGAAAGCTAAATACAACACATACAATATAACGATATTATGGGGTGTACTAATACATAAAATGCATTCAGAGAAATCAGAATTGTACGAACAGGGGAAAGAAAACTAAATCATCATATATCACGACTAGATGCGAAAACGATTTATAATAATCTGCTAAAGATATGAAAATTGATTGGACTGATGCAAATTCGAGTAGTTGTTCTCATGTTATTTACCATATGATGCATTTTATGTTTGCCGTAAAATACGTTTTCTTGCAATGTCTATTTGAATACGTATAGTGTGTAAGCAATTCGTTTGGTAAAAGAAAAGATACACAATGAATATTCAGAGTAGCTCAACGACTGACCCGCAATTGGGGCTCAAGGGGGAGCGGAGCTGGTTACTTACTTGCCGTAGGTGTAACTCTTGCACACCACTTGCTTGTTGGCCAGGGAGTACGAGAGGAATGCGTAGTCGCTCTGTGCCAAATCGGTGGTATATATGCCGAGAGAATTATTGTTTTTCAATAGAATGCTGCAGGAAAGGGTAAAATTCAGCCGCTTTTCTTTTTGGATTCCATAATAGACACTCACTCGAAGACTTCAGAGAATATCTTTTTGGCCGTCTTTATTTCGGCACTCTGGTCATCGACTGAGGAAACAAAGATTCCTGCAAAGCAAAGCAAACACATTATATGGTACTTCCTCCCCTCAGTGGGCGCGCAAGCATACATACCGATGACGTCAAATGAGCCGGGACACATTTTGCTTGCGCTCAGCCATTGGGAGGCCAACGCCTGTGAGCTTATGGTCAGTCCGACTTCCGTCAAGTCCTCCAGGTCGACATCCTCTTCGTTATTCCTGGCCAAATGGACCACAAACGTTTTGGTCAGATCGGCTTGCTGTCGTCGCCGTCCATTGCATTGCGCGAGGGGTAGAGAGTTGAGCGAGCGGGGCCGTGGACAACAAACAAATCTACGTGGCGGTGTTACTTACATGGCCGATGATGATGCCGTACGAGAACCGGTGTTCCCGTGCGCACTTCTCCAAGTAGTGCTCATCCGCTTTGCTTAGGAGCAGTGTGCGCATTGTAAAAATTTATCTTGATAAATTAAATTAAATTTCTATTTAGAATTTAAAATCTTGTTGTCAGTGTTCGTTTAGATGAGCCTGGAGAACAGAGCCCACTTAAGCCCCCTTTATTAAAACAGTTCAATGACTTGAGGTATATGGTGGAAAATATTACTAATTGTAAATTCTTCTTGTAGATCCATGCCATCTGAGCTTAAAAAAAAACCATATCTTTTATCTGAACTGCGCTAAAATGATTAAATTTTCATTATTTTCGGTGGCATATTAATATACCCACTGGTCTACAATGGGTTAATCGTTCTCCGTCGAGGGCTGGAAACCATATTCCCCGATTTTGATATTCGATTTGATATTACTGGCTAGCTAAGACTTTCAGCTCTGAACAAATAATTTTATCTCATTGAGGAAATACTTTCGTACAAGACTGGCTATTTATAAGAACTCATGTTGGTTGGATTGCTTATAGAATAAGGTTTATACAAAAAAGGTCATGAAAAATGTACATTTTGTACATGTTAGCTACGTAATAACTACACATTGGCTACATATCAACTACATATTTATGGAGTGGGGCAATTGTATACCCTATTTCCTTTAATTCATGTTAAAATTCTGCTTTCCAAGCTGATTTGATACATTAATAATGACGTTTTCTCAGAATGACCTGTTGAAATGACAAGCAAGTCCTCAATTCTATAATATCCTTCTTCCAAGGGTATGCTAAATTTTGCTCATTTTGAATAGCTAGAGATAATAATTTGATCGATCAGTTAAATGGCGTTTATTCTTTGTGGTTGTGCAAATCGATCTTGCAGCATCTTTGAAGACTAACAAAGAACACCTGTGAGCTAATTCGACTTCAAAACACATATATATAAGTTATTTTATTCTGCATTAAACATTAAAACAGTTTACATTGACCGCGAGGTTTTTACTTTAGTGTGTACGGATATTTAACGAGGGGGAACGTTGTGAGTTGCTGCGGACACCGCAACTCTACAGTTATACCCGATACTAAGTCAGTATATGTAGCTCTCCTCCGGCAGACGGCGCTAATATTAAACAAAACGACGAAGAGTGTGTGCGAGAGAGACAGAAAATCAGTCTGAGCGTGACGTCGGGCGCTGCGTAGCCACTGAAAATTGTTTTTTTTTCTTTTCTGCTATAAAAATTATCCGATCTGATCCAAATTCAGCAACTGGATAGATATGGTCATTCTCTATGATTCTGCGTTTTTAGTTTTCTCGAATCTGCAATATTGTGGATGCAACAGATTCTCGTCCTTTGTGGGGGCGGAAGGGGGTGGGGCGAAATTTTGAGATATACGTTTTATAGTGAGATCTAACAGAAGTGCGGATACCAAATTTGGTTACTCTAGCCTTAATAGTCTCTGAGATTTATGAATATCCCCAGATCTGCATCCTTTGCGGGGGCGGAAGGGGGTGTGGCGAAATTTTGAAACAAACTCGTCTCGGTCCGATATATTAGGAGTCTGGATACCAAATTGGGTTAATCTAGCTTTTATAGTCTCTGAGATCTAGGCGCTAATGTTTTACTCTAAGCAAAGCCGCCTATGCTACGTGTGTGTTAGAGAGAGACAGGGCGAGAAAAAATGAAATTGTTTTCTTGATGCTGGCTATAATAATAATACGATCCAGTTCAGATTCTGCAGTCTAAAAGATATGGTCATTCTCTACGACTCTGCGTTTTTGGTTTTATCGTATCTTTAAAAATGTGGATGCCACAGATTTTCGTCCTTTGTGGGGGCGGAAGTGGGCGGGGCAAAGTTTTGAAATGATTTTGTAGCAGTGACATATCACAGAAGCCTGGATCCAAAACATCGTTGCTCTAGCTCTTATAGTCTTTGAGCACTATGCGCTGAAGGGGACGGACAGACGGACAGACGGACGGACGGACGGACGGACAGACGGACAGACAGACATGGCTCAATCGACTCGGCTATTGATGCTGATCAAGAATATATATACTTTATGGGGTCGGAAACGATTCCTTCTGGACGTTACACACATCCACTTTTACCACAAATCTAATATACCCCAATACTCATTTTGAGTATCGGGTATAAAAATATAAATAAACGAAGGCCTTAAGAATTTTCCTTAATACTTTGAATTCTTCGGAATACCTCTTGTGGCCTCTGTTTAGTTGATAAAGCTTTAGGTTATTCAGGAGCTTTCAACAGTTTAACACGAAGTTTTAGAGTCCGCACTACAGATGGGTGGCTTGGGAGATCATCCCGGTGATCATCTCCAAAAAAAATAAACGAGTGCTCAATGATGTGTCGAAGACGCATGTCGATAGCACCCTCTAGTTTAGTCCAGAAGACCATGCTCAATCTCACTAATATGAACGACAAAGATTGTCTCCATCACAACATCCATACGGAACCATTTATTGGGTAGTAAATCGATGACGTCCAACATAGTTAGTTTCTATGTTTAAAGAAGAGTTTTAATAAAAATGTAAAAACAGTTTTGGTTCAGTTCTTTGTAATTCTCAAGTACTTTATGTAATTAACTAGTTTTTCCATTTCCTTATTGTGCATCTCATACACATCATGTGAAATCGCCCAGACGTCTGTGTCTGCAATCATTTCCATCTCAAAAACATTCCCTTTCTTGTTCCACACAGCATCGGAAAAGTGTTTTTGAACTCTGCGGTACAGTGATCGTGCACAGAATGTGTTCACGGTTATTTGGTCTACAATTTTGAAGTCTGCTCTATTACTGTACATGGAATTCACTTGATTGTAGTCCTTCCCTAGAGCCGTAGGCGTCGACAGGAACATATGGTATAAACGCTTCCGTTCGAGTGGTTTTTTTAGACACAGGAAACACAGACTCTGTGTGTAGTCGACATTGTACGGATCGATTGGAGGTGGTGGAGAGCTACATTTCAACAGAATTCCACGTAGGATTACTGGAAATCTCATAGCGTTGATTTTGGGGTGTGCCTGCCGTGGATCTGTAGCATCAGCCGTCTTCTTTATCTCCCAAATGCGAGGAGTGTCTTCACGTCTTCCAGATATATTCAGCACTGGAGCTTGGGATGGCTCAATTTTGTCGATGGTGGTACTACTGGCACTATTGTTTGTTTCGAATTCCATTGCTTTTGGTTTGTTTTTCTCTACAATATGTATATGCTATCGTTACGAATATCTATGCAACAACTAAGCATTAAGCACTGACGGCCTTTTAACTGGACGGATTGTTTAGTGGGAGCTCGAAAGCAACAAAATTATTTCGCAAGCAAAAGCTCGCACCAAAACAAAAGCTTTTAATGTTAGTGATGGGAATGGTGCTACTATGAAAATTATTGTCTTTGTAGATTTGTATTTGATATCGATAGCTAGGATAGCTTGGTAAAAAAATGTGGAGAACATAATTTTTTACAGTGTTTTTTTTCATTTTCATTTAGATTTTGTTTCTTATGATCTTTGTGTGGATGTGTGTGTAGTTAATAAAAAGTATTGATCGTTAGTAATCATACGTTTTCAGCAATGAAATAAATTTATCATTAGGCATAGACATAACTAAAAACAATAATAAAAACAAACAATAATACAAGTATCACTTCCGCATCGCAGCAAAATTCGCTCTCTGTGGCATTCGCGTTAGGCTTAAACGGTCACCTGATGGACATATTTTTACGTCTATCGGTTGAAATTGCTACTAGGGCTGGAAAAATCCATCGAGCTTATCGATGGTTGATAATTAATTGAAACTTTCTGCACACCATCAGTAGTGCGCGAAAAAATTGAACCGCCGATATGATGGCCGAAACTCCAGCCCCAACCTCAAACTGAACTCTCAAATAACTTCTGAATAAAATTTAAAACCGAAGAAAAATTTTATAAACGTTGCAGCATTCTTCTTACAAGACAGTGACGTCGGGGGAGAACTTCCCGTGGCCTGTAGCCTTTGTTTTATCAGGTTCTTTTTTTGTTTTTGCGCCAAACACCTTAAACCAAATCATCATTGCCGATAGTAAGAACGAACGAGATTCATTCATTTCTAAAACAAGCTTTATATTTTGCATAATTTTGTAAAATTCATTTCATTGGTTCCATTCATCCTGCATTCACTTCCTCAGCAGAACAGGAGCTGCGCTGAAGGCAGCAGTATAGGGAGATGCCACATAAGGGGAAGCGACATACGGAGAGGCGACGTAAGGAGATGCCAGGTATGGGGATGCCACATAAGGAGATGCTGCTGCCACGTAGGGTGCCGCAAAGTTTCCGTGATATTCCCGGCTGTAGACAGCAGCCGCTGGGCCAGCAGCCACCAGAGGCGCAGAGTAGGCGAAAGGAGCCACAATTCCGGGCTTGGCCGAGACGCAGGCAATCAGAGCGACGAAGGCGAGGGCGAAGAACTTGAACATCTTGAATGGATTGTTGTACGGTCGAGTGTTTCAAACTGAACTGATGACAATTGCTGAATGAACGACGTGTTTTATAGCCACCAATCCCACAGCAGGTCTGCCTGCAGGGCAACCTTCGACCGTTCGAAAAACCAAAGGCTGGTAGTTGGTATTAATTTTTGGCCTGCTTAATGCTGCTTAGTTAAAAGAGACTTCCCCACAGCACACGACGCTTGTGTCGCTTGTGCCGAACCACTACGGGGCTACTACATACGTGACTGGCGTGCCAAAGAGGGGCCTCAGAATTCGGTTGTTGGGCTGGCGCGAGACCTTGCAAGGCCATTTGGCAGGCACTCAACCTCCACTGTGTGTGGGGCAATAGCTATATAAGCTACGGCCCACCGCCTGTTTGGGCATCAGTTGCATTTGTTCCATTCAACAAGTAAAACAATAAAAAAAACCCAATCCTTCCAAGATGTTCAAGTTCGTCGCCGCCGTTGTCCTCGCTATGATTGCCTGCGTTGCCGCCAAGCCCGGAATCGTGGCTCCCCTGGCCTACTCCGCCCCCTACGTTGCTGCCTCTCCCTACGTGGCGGCGTCTCCCTATGTGGCGTCTCCGTATGTGGCATCTCCCTACGTTGCCTCCCCGTACACTGCCGCCTACGCTTCTCCGTACACCGCTGCCTACACCGCTGCTGCCTACGCCTCCCCCTACGCAGCCGCCTACACAGCCCCTTATGCCGCTGCTGCCGCCTACACAGCCCCCCTGCTGCTGAAAAAGTAGAGTACACACCGGAAGTGCCACCCGCCCACCTGTAACCTGAACGGAAGTCGCATGAATTCTCTCCTGCAATGAATCACTGAAATAAACTCTATCAAACGAACAGTAAATATCTCTCATTCATTCGTGGGGAACTGCTGATGTAAATACTACGGAACTATTGTTTCAATGGATATGTGATGGTATACCGTCTCAAGACAGCTGTTCTCTTAAAGAGCTACGTTGTAGATCACACAAAAACAAGTAAATCAATAATATATCAGTTGCTGCAGTATCGATCTGGCAACAACCAAACGGGGAAGGCAGCCGGAGGGCGTCCGGCTCAAAAAGAGGACGCTGATTTAAAGTGGGAATATCAACGGAGCGGGCCAGGATGTATCATTAAATATATATAGTTGGGAGCTGGGATCATCGGTTTTCAATTAACTTTCAACAGGGTTCCCACGCTTTTCGGCTGAGGCGTCTAGCCACCGGCGCGTCATCATGCCAGCCAGCCAGCCCCAGGAAAGTTCTGCATGTGTTAATATAACCAATCCAATCCAATTATCTAATGCAGAAAGTTCGTTCGCGACGAGTACGGTGTATGATCTGGCACATCTATATACAGTATGGTTAGGTTAGTGGTTAAACATTCAAATAGTTATATACGTCTATCGGTAATTGCGCACCTCTAGAGCCTGTTATCCGTAAGATGTGCCATCTCTAGCACTTGTCGGTTATATTTCAAATGGGAGTGATGGCGTTGCCACATCAATGAAATATACTTTGGAGGTATAAATTTGATTTGTATGCACTTTTGTGGTACCTAAAAATTACAGAATTTATTAAAAACTCAACATAAGTTGAATCCCCCTTGAGGGAAGTCCTCAAATTAGTGCCTCACCTGCATCTGCTGCATCTGTGGTGTGATTGCACTCGCCCTAAGCAATCCTCGTAAAGACCCCAGCATGTGTGCCACCCAACTGGTCAAGTGTCTTGTGGACTATGGAGCGAACGGACGCGATCGGTAATCGAATTAGGTAAACAAACACTCCATAAGGCGGGCGTACGTTGATAATGTGTGCATAAGCAAATAGGAGACGGACAAGACGGACGAGACGGCAGGAACGACGGCCAGCGATTGCGCCGGTGGTGATGACGGGGCCGAAACCGAACCGAAACCAAATGAAATTTTCGTTTAGGTGGTCGCCAACGGCTGCGAGCCATCTGCTTGTGTGAATGCTTGATTGTTGAAGTGCCACTCGATGGGGCGAGGGCGCACGCTACTCTCCAGCGTCTCCGGGCTCGCGTCTTATTTACTTAGTAAATTATTCCTGTTCGATTGTTTGCGTTTGCTCTGGATCTCTGGCACAAAAGCCCTCGAACGTCATCGTCAGCCCCATCGTTGTCATTGTCGTTGTTGTTGTCGTTGTCGTTGTCGTTGTCGTCGTTGGTTCATTCATGATTCGCCTTTCACAAATTTGATTTGTACTACAATATATACGGATCGATGTGTGCCATAATGTGCACTTTGCATCCGAACATACATATGTACATTCATATGTACCAGCAAATACTCGTAGTATTCAGCAGTTCTGATCAGCTTAGTGAGACATCTCATTATCGACGGTTCTCTCAAGACGATGCATTCTCCACTTATACGTACATGCATCCCGTTTCACTTGCAGATTTATTTCCATCTTCTGATGGTTCTGCTTCTGCTGCTGGTCCAGGAATCGGGCAGGTAATTGCTTTTTAAATCGGCATTCAGTCCGGTCGCCCGTCTGCCGTCTTCCGTCTTCCGTCTCCCATCCACTAACCACTCCGCCGGGAGCCACTCAATTCGTAAGCTTTGATGCGATTTGGCTTCTGTGCAGCCTCCTCGACTGTGTGTTCTGTGTGGCTCGTTGATCTGATCACGCCATGTGTAGTTTAGTTGCAGTTTCGATTCACATCGGATTGCTTTGCCCAGGCAGCGCATCAATCATCCATCACGCACCCAAGACAACGACCTATCTTTGCAAAACTTGTATACCTGTACGACATACATATGTACATGTACATATTTTCATTTATCAAAGCTAAAGTCGTGATGTCTGTGTACATAGAGGGACGGACTTGAAGATGTAAGGGTTTTTATTCAGATATACATACGTGCATACCTGTAGAGGAATCCCAAGTGAAACAGAGTACATTCTTCCACTGAAAATGCTGGGTAAATAATGAAAATTGGAAAACTTTTCCTTAAGCTTTTGTCAAGATGGAAATTCGTATACTCAATGATTATACATATATTTAAATTTTACTTTTTTTACGCAATATCAATTTTTGGTAAGATGAACTGCACTGAATAACTGAATTTGTTCCATATAAATACATTAAACTAATTATATACGTTACATAAACAACCCCTTTTTCTGAATGTGACTTAAAAAATAGCCCTCCATGTTGAATTAAACCACTACAAAAAAAATATTTGAAAATACTATTCGGAAAACGCTAGAAAATCGGAATCAAGACTTTTTCGTTGACTTATACTTGTATTTTTATTTTTATATATGTTCGTTTCCCAAATAACTTTTCTTGCATTTAATATTATTAGCTCTTAAATAAATGTATAAAACTGGGGGTGTTTTAGAAAATCGTCAGATTAATCCAGAAAAACATAGAAGCAAGTTGCAAGTGCCTTAAAATGATTTTGGAAACTTATTATTATTTGGCGTATAATAAGTTAATGTAAATATAGTAGGAGATCTTCTGGAAAACAGTTTCTTCAGTTTAAAAATGGTATCGGGGTATAAACTTCGTCGACCATCTTATCTACGGTTTGTTTTCGCACGCTAGAAATACTGAATACTTATTTAAAAAATTTGATTTATTAAAGGCAATACAGATTATATTATCCGTAGATGTACCCACTTGGGCTGTCCAAACGTTGAATATTGCCAATTTAATTCCAAATTGACTATACATACATATGTAAACACCGATCGATATGGGATTTAGATGTTAGTTGGGGAACTACATCTTTGACTCTGTTCAAAGAGATTTAGAAAATGGTTCCAATGGCTCGTAAGTGTCTAACGCCCAATGCATGAATGCAGCTAATTAGGGGAACTGAAGCTGAAGCTGAAGTACGCGGCTGCCTCCCTTCCTCCCCAACGTACTGCACCGCACCGCACCCCGCTCCGCTCCCTTCGCTACACTGTGATGTGTCGGCGTCGGCAACGAGTCGGTAATCGTTTGATTTGTGAGCGAGCACTACACCCATTGGCAGGGTAGAGTTGTCCCGCTCGCACGCTAGCGACGGACGGCCACAACGGCCGCCATTATGAAAGTCCAGTGCGGAAAACCGGTCGGCGCTGCGCTGGATATTCCACTCAAACATTGAGTGAGATGGAAAACTGGCTGCCAGGGGAACACAGCCAGGTGAAATTCGAGCCGAGAGAAAACGAAACGATCCGAGTCTAGCGGCCAAAGCGAGACTACCGAACCGACAGTTTGCTCTCGGCCGCGCACAACGAAACAACAAAAAAATTTGGGTTCAGTAAAAGTTCCGTTTGGACATACCTACACAAGCTTTAAGGCCAAGATTTCTAACTGTTTCATGGACAGTCGGATGTGCAGTGAAATAATGTTCCGTGCGGGGTTCCGTCTTCAGAGTCAGTGAGACGACGTTTTTTTTTTGTTGTTTTTTTCCTTAAATTAAATTCTATATTTATATTGGAAATCGGTTGTACTTAAGAGTGAGACGACGAAAAGGAAGTGAGTAGCAGGAGAGAGAGCCCACTGCATTGGCACTTCCGCTTGGCACTTTCCGTTACTCCCATTATCCGTGGGATTCATATCCATATCCAAATCCAACTCCATCCAGTCCCATAATCGATATCCGCGTCCTCTTCTATGTTTTTGATTGTGACTACATTGTGACTGTGTTGTGACACGTGATTCGCAGAACGGAACGAAACGGAACTACAATAAATATAAAACCAAATAAAAACCTAAGCGAATAGACCGATTCTTAGAAATGTTGATAGAGCCGACATTGAACCGTGACCTTGGCTCGCTTACTGTTGCAAATTCTGGCCTCTCAGCCGCGCACTGGAAAATGGAGCCCCATCCCCAACGAATGACATCGCTGGCCCCGCATGCCTCCAGTGGTAAGTGTTGTCCGACGATTAGCCGACGGCTAATCCAGACGCGTATCTCCCGTACTGGTTTCCAAATTTGGCTCGAAATTAGTTTCACTATTGATCCTCTCTCTCTCCTGTGGATGATCTCTGTTCGAGAAAATAACTCGTTTCATTTGATTTGCGGCACAATTGATGGCGAGCATATATGTACATGTACAATGTATGTATGTACTGGCGATACATATTGTATCTTGAAAATATTTACTCGGAAAACAAGCAGAGTGAAACGCGCATTTAAGCGCTAATTGACAATTATACATATTATGGGGGATAGGCCGGCCTGGGTACTGACGGACGGAGTGCCGCTCAAGCCGAAAGGTACGATACGTATTGTGACTGCTCTACGGGTATGTGTATGCCAGTAAATATTTATATACTTAGTGTTCTGTCGAATTAGCGTAATTCACAGACTTTGAAGCAGCTGTGTACATGCCAAATTTTTAATTTCCCCTTTGTCTTGGCCGCAAATTGTACGCGCGAGGCACATTTCAATTAAATTGATAAATCCGCCCTGCCCTGCGATTGCGTGGGATGTCGACTCCATTTTGGCATTAGTTCGATGGAGAATCGCCATCGCCTAGCCATCGCCATTGGCTTGGCACTGGAACGGGCACTGCCATCCGTCCGTCAGTCAGTCAGTCACCATCCATCGGCTTCAGTTTAGTTCAGTTCAGATCAGTCAACACAATTAACGGCTAATTTATCATAATTAACCATTGTGGTCGGGAGACAGCACAGCGGCCACAACAACCAACAACAGCCCCGGAATAATGATGACAATGGCCAATTATCACTCGATTCCATTCGTTCAATTGCAGTAGCGGCAGCAGCAGCGGCGGCGGCGGCGGCAGCGGCAGCAGCAGCAGCAGCGACGACCACGTCGCCTCCATCTGTGCAAATACCGCCGGGCTTTGGCGCTGGCGGGGGCACAGCCGGCAGCAGTGGCGGTCCAACGGCTGGGCCGGGTAGCACGCTTGGTACATTGATGTCGCAACACCGCCTCCTGGAGTTCTCCCGCTTTGGTGGCCTGCGTGGCTACGACATCGCCCAGCACATGCTGACGCAGCAGGGCGCAGTCTCCAAGCTGTTGGGTAAGTAATACTGGGAGATCCTCTGACACTACTCACTAAACGTCCTCTACGAGCCCCTTTCAATCGGATAACTAATAGGCACTTTGTTTTCGATTTGTTTGCTAATTTTGATGATAAACATGTTATTATCCTTGTCCCTATCCAATGTCCCTACCAGCCCTGCACAGCCCTACCATTCGGAGTCGAGTCCCCTACCGCGAGACTCGAGAGTCGAGAGCGCGCCGTGTGTGTGTAATTTAGCCACTTAAAATTGCATAAACCCTGGCTGGTGGTGGCTAAAGACCGCAGGCTCATTAATCAAAATGCGGCGTATTTCTGGTTTTGGGTACGGGCTCGGCTCGACTCGACTCGGCTCGGGGCTCAGGGCTCGGGGTACGTGCGTGCTGCTGGAGAGTAACAGTATGTACGTAGAAATGTTCTCCCCTCACTTGTTCCGCAATTGTTAATGTCGATGGCGATGGTTGATAAAGCTATTAAACCGAGGGATAAGCCAGGGGCCCGGGCATCACTCAGGACACATAAGTCATCAGATCCGCGCTTGCAATCCATAAATCCATTGTCTCATGCGTTTTTCTGCTCGTGTTCGCTTTTCCAGGCTCCCTGCGACCACCGGGCCTAATTGGTGGCTCAAAGCCGAAGGTAGCCACGCCAACGGTCGTCTCCAAAATCGAGCAATACAAGCGGGAGAACCCCACGATCTTCGCCTGGGAGATACGCGAGCGCCTGATCTCCGAAGGTAAGTAGGAGCGAAGCGAAGATAATTGGCGGCAAAGTCCCCCCGATAATCCGAGTGGAGCTGCTCTGATTGATCACTGATTGATCGGCGGCCGCTTTTGAGTCTCCCCGCCTCTCACAATCTCCAATCTCCAATCTGCAATCTCGAATCTCTATCCCGACTTCCCGCTAATTGTGCCCTCCCGCCATGCAGGTGTCTGTACGAATGCCACCGCCCCGTCGGTGAGCAGCATCAATCGCATCCTGCGAAACCGGGCCGCCGAGCGGGTGGCCACCGAGTTCGCTCGCACCGCCGCCTATGGCCTGTACCCGCCCCACCCGCATCCGTACGGCAGCTTCACCTGGCATCCGGCCGGCAATGTGGGAGGTGGACAATCGGTGCCCGGTCCGCCGCCGCCGTCGGCTCTCTGGTCTGTGGCGGCTCCCACATTGGCCAATCTGCCGCCCAGTGCCGGCAGCTCGGTCTCTGCCCCGAACTGTGGATCCCTGAGCTCTGCTCACCTGATGGCCAGCGCTGCCCCCCCGAACAGAGCCATTTCGCCGGGCTCGGGCAGCCACGACACTCTCGAGTCCGCGGACGAGAACCGCCACATCGACTCCGACTATTTGGACGACGACGATGAGCCCAAGTTCCGACGCAATCGGACAACCTTCAGCCCCGAGCAGCTGGAGGAGCTGGAAAAGGAGTTCGACAAGAGCCACTATCCGTGCGTGAGCACCCGCGAGAGGCTGTCGAGTCGCACGAGTCTGAGCGAGGCGCGAGTTCAGGTGAGTGGAGGGATTGCCCCCTGAGGGATACACCTTCTTGACTTTTGTTTCTCGTACATTGACAGGTCTGGTTCTCGAACCGCCGGGCCAAGTGGCGTCGCCATCAGCGCATGAACCTGCTCAAGCGGCAGCGGTCCAGTCCCGCGAATCCGCTGCACTCGCAGCAATCAAACGACGCTCCGGCCAGCTCTCCCACGCCCAGTAATCACAGCAGCGCCTCAGCCTCGGCGGCTTCTGTGGGAGGAGCTCCTGCTCCGCCCCAGCAGTCGCTTCCCCTCTGCTCAGAGCACTCTCCGCAGGCACCACCTCCGTCCGTGATACTGCACCCACTGCACGGGCCACCTGGGGGCCACCATCACCACCATCCACTGCACTTGCCGACGCATCCTGCGGCGCTGCAGCTGCTCAGCCACTACCATCAGCAGCAGCAGCAACAACAGCAGCAACAACAGCAGCAGCAGCAGCAGCTTTCTCCCTCTGGAGTTGGAGGCTGCGGATCGGCCGCCAGCCACCTGTCGATGGGAGGAGAACGCAGCGCCTTCCGGAGTCTGGTAAGCTCTCCTTCTGCGGCAGCCTTTCTGGGCCTTGCCCGGCAGTATGCGGTGGCAGCATCTCTGACGGTGGCCGAGGAGCAGCGCTCGCGGATGCACTACTCCACCGGGGTGGGTTCCGGGCCGGAGGGCAGTGGCCCTGGCAGTGGGAGTGGGACTGGGACGGGCGGCTCAACCATGACCGTGGACAACTCATCGTCCGACTCGGATGAAGAGATCAACGTGCACGACGATTCCGATGCTGAAATCGAATCGCCGGCGGCAAAGGTGGCCCGCCTGTCATCCTCCGATGGGTCGGCGACGCTGCAGTTCCTAAAGCATGACCGTTAGCGGGACAAACCCGTGATCCGGCGGCAGAGTCTAATTGAAAACCTGAGTTGTGTGCGCGTTTGTGATTGACAGCGACGTAGGTATGTAACTACGTGGAATGGTGGGTCCCGCAGGGCGGTCGCAGGCGGATCCGTGCGTGTCGCGGACAGAAACATGAGACGCGACTACATTCGTAGACGAAACAAATCGAAAACCAAAGTTAAAATGCTGCTCACCTACTTGGCTGCGGTTCGGGGTCTTGCTTTTGCCCCGGTCCGGACACTAGGTTGCAACTGAAATAGCAGCAGCAGCAGCAGCAGTAGCAGCAAGAGCAAGAGCAAGAGCAAGAGCAACAATAGTAGGCGGCATTTGTGTGTGGACACGCTTTAGATTAACTGAAATTGTAACTAATACTTACTGGTACATGCTCGTACGAGTATGTGCACGCTTGTCCCATTTAATGCACATTTCCATCATCTGCATAATAGATAGTTACGAATGCGAATCCGAATCCGAATCCGAATGCGAGTACGTACCTTCCAAGTATGTAGTACGTATAATTATTACGAGTACGTGTACTAGTACGAGTATATTATTCATCGCCGGCCGTTGGCCGCTGGCTGCCGACTTACCTCATCACCATTTAAGGCTATAGAGTATGCAATATCTACACATATAGTATGAATGTATGTACGTAACTGTAGCCGTAACTCTAACTATAACTTAGTCCTAACCTAGGCTCTAAACTCCAACAATACAATGCATGCCCATTCGGAGCACACTATTTTTTTTTTAAACCTTTTTTTTTGAACTGATATCTATATTGTATGATAAGTGTGCGAGCAGTGTCTCCCAAAAATGGGGAGTATCAAATAAAAGTGCAAGAAATACAAGAACTTTCGTTTTTTGGTGGGGATTGAATTATTAATCATTCGAAAAAGATACATAAGTGAATATGGATGGTGGATAGTGGATGGTGGATGGTGGATGGGATGGGAATTGAGAGATCTAGGAAGATCTTTTAAGGAACAACCTGAAATCGGTAACCCAATAGGTCTTCAATGGGTCTCCAATGCCCGATGTGACAACAGTAGAATTTATTCGTCCGATTTCACGCATAATAATCAATTCCATCAACAAAACACACTCAGTGACGGGTAAAAACAACCAGAAACCGAAACACACAACCGAAAACTCTGGCAACGAGCATAAATAAGCATTTAACACTCAAAAGGCTTCTTAAAAACGTTATTAAATATTAATATAATCAATATTCATTGTGTGGCCAACTGTCGAAGAGAGGAGGGAAGGGGATTTAGATGGGGATGGAGATGGCTATGGGTATGGAATGGTAGGTAAAAGTCAAACGAAATCGAAATCAGAATCAAAATACGCGCATAGAAATCGCTTAAATTTCAAACGTAATGGCCAATATGTCCAAATCTGGTAGATAACATCGACATTTTAATTATAACCAAATGAAGCCGCGCCGCGCGCACACTCCGCGGGGACATGCACAGGCAGGCAGAGATGTGGAGATGCAGAGATGTGCGGATGGGTATGGATATGGGATAGGATGGAGCGGAATGGTATGGCATGGCATGGCATGGCATGGAATGGAATGGGATTGGATGGTTTCGACTGACCGATTAAAAATGCCGAGTCAACTAAGCACATAAATCAATGTAAATTATGGTGTTAACAAAAGGCGATCTGAGCGCGCTCAAATCGCAGGCACCGGAGAGACTCGATCGTTGACTCTTTTTAGAAGCTGGCGACTGCTGACTGCTGACTGGGGACTGTGCCTGGCCGAGATTTAAATGAGCTGAGCGCGTATGTTGTGCATTCGCATCTGATAAGAAAGTGTGAGAGAGAGAGAGAGCGCTCCGCGGTCGTTCGTGTCGATACTTACAAGCCTGATCGGGATTGGGATCGGGAGCGGATTCGGGATCGGGATCGGGATCGGGTGACGGTCATCAGCATTACCACGCGCGCGAGCACTCGGTGAGGCCGAGAGCACACAAATTCAATTTGCTTGAGTTTTTATGAGCAAATGGTCCGGTCCCGTATCATCCCGTCCGTCCTCTCTCTGGCCCTTTGCCTTTGCCTTGGCCTTCTCCTTCTCCAGTCATGACTTAATCTAATTTAGTGCGGAGCTGCTCGTGAGCATTCCTTTAATAAATTTAAATCACCTTCTATTGAAAATATTTTCACCTCGGGCCCCATAAATTATACATTATACGATATTTATACAGTCTGCGGCACACGGCTGCGGCTACGGCTGCGGCTACGGCTGCGGCTACGGCTACGGCTCTGGGTCAGGCCTTTCGACTAAATCCAGAGATATTCGGCTTTTGGCTTTGGTTTCACGCTCTCCGATACAATTCGAAAAATATTCAGTGGTTTCATTTAGAATACCAAGATGTGATATGCATGTTGGGGATCTCCGATCTCGTATCTCGGATCTCATGGAGTGATGCTGGAAACGGGGACCGGGGGAGGGACAGGAGCAGCCCCAGGGACCATCTGCTTGATGGACCAGGGCAAAGTGGCGCTCTCATGAGCGCCATATAATCACAGTCAAACACTTTTACGATCGACCCATCATGCAGTGCTGATCAGTTGGCCACTTGATGACTCTCAGGACTCTCGCAGAGATTGTTTCCGCAACATTGTTGGCAAATGTTTGTGGCTTTGCGCAGTTTTTATTGTTTGGGTTGGCGGAAATCGATGAACTTTAGTACGGCTCTGACGGCGTCGGTATCCCGTATCCCATATCCTCAACTCCAACTCCAGCTCCAGCTCCAACCCATACCCATGCGCCCGCCCTCCTGGCAGCCAGCGCCACCAGCAAGGGGCCGGTGATAAATCTGTTGGCAAACCCGACACAACATTTCCATCGTATCCTTCTAAATGGACCATAAACGTGCGAAGTCGCAACACTAGCAATAACTAAAGTTAGTTACGTTTACTAATATGACAACAATGTTGTCGGCTCCAGCAACAGGAACAGCATCCCTGCCTGCCCCTTCGGCGTTGTTCGAAACTTGTATCTAGGGTCACTGATCGTGATGGATTTTACCTACTATTCCTCTCAGGAGCACTTCAACTACGAAAAGGTAAAGAATATTTCAATATTTTCGGATGCTTTCGCATCCCTGTAAATGTTATTTTGCCAAGGGCGAAGAATCACAAATTCTGAAAGAACGTAATTTTCGAGTGATCTGAGTAAATAAGGATTGAATAAGGATCACTAAATCATGGATATTTGTTCTGTTCAAAAGTTCTAATATCCAATCTGTAGTCTATATATCCCTTGTAAAGCAAAGTCTGTCAGGATATCACAAAGATCAATGCAAATATGGAAAAAGTACAGGAAATGAACTTATTTAAATGTTATTTTTTAACAGATGAAATTTGTGTGTTATACAACAGATGCACATACATATATATATATATACATAGATGTACAGTCGCAACGTGTGAGTGTCGCCATCCAAATCAGTGATTTATGCCCAAACTGAAATGTCCACAATGGCGATTCGGATGACCCGACCCTACGACTGCGACTCCGACTGCGACTGCGGCCAAGACCCTATCCCCGCAGCACTGAAGGCACCGCCAGAACGACGGTAGGGCAGGGCAGGGCAGAGCAGCGATGGGGCTGCGGCAGAGCCTCTGTTAATGAGCGGAGCGATTAAGAGATGTGCATTTGTGCTTGTCCGCTCCTTAAATGAGCTCGAGCTTTTAGCGCGCAGCTCTAGGCGGACGGGTTGGGGACGGGGACGGGGACGGGAACGGGTCCCAGGGCGGGAAGGGGGGACCGAGTGATTTTGTCTCGTTGTCATCTCATTTGGAATTGGGCGATAAGACAAATTTGTTTTCTTTGTTTATAAGTTTATGCAGATACAGGTTTTGGTTTCCAATCCACTCCCCGGCCGGGCATATTCGAATTGTCGCTGGCCGGGGCCTTGCATCTGGGATAGGGCATACGCGATTCGCTGGCAGCCCAACGAGCGATCGGGGGAATAGAGTTATATTTAATCTTTGTCGCCTCGCAGGTCGGGACTCAGTTCGAGCCAGAGCCAGAGACAGGGCCGAGACAGAACAGTGCCCGTTCGCAGCACAACAAAGTGGAATTGTGGCCTTTTGATTTGAATTTTGAATTCGAATGTCTTTGTTTTTTATTTGTCGGACTGCGGCGGCAGCTGCCGCTGGTTGACATCTCTCTTAACGAGGAGTGTGATCAAAAGAGTAATGAGGTGTTGATAGTGCCCGAAAGCGAAAGACGCTTTATGCATTCCCGTGGATTAATTAGGAACAATGCCAGCCAGAGCCACAGCATCCACAGAAGTTGGCCCTGTTCTAGTATGTCCCAACGATAATTGAGGGTCTCTTATGTCTCAAATGAATGTGGCTCTGGCTCTGGAACTGCCGCTGTCGGGGCGAGGTTAAACGGCGACATCGATGGATCCCCTAACCTTTGAAGTCTTTCAGATCTTTCTTTTACATTGTATTGTCTCTGGAATCTGATTCTGATTCCTGATTCCTGACTCTGACTCTGAATTCGACTCTGATTCCGATTCTTTCTCTGGCTCTGGCTCTGACTCTGGTTATGGCCATTGTTCTGTTTGACCAATTTGCATATGATAAATCAGCTTTCATATTTTGTTAAATTGCTGCTCTCTGGCTATCGCATTTTTTGTTCTTATTGGCTGGGCCAGAGCATTGGCGCGTGGTAAATTGGTTGTATTGTAAAACATCTAATTAGTGGTCGGCTACCGAATTATGACCAATTATAATTATTGATTGATTGCGACCCATAATGAGTGGCTCGGAAACTCCCGTTGTCGCTGTCTTCGATTCTGATTCCAATTCCAACTCCGATTCTGATTCTGCTTCTGATTCTGGATCTGAAACTGTTTCTCATTTCGCATTATTGTCGTAAACTTTTCTGAGCCTCTGATTTTTCTATAAAAACATATAAGACCGAGAACAAAAGACCCCGCAGATGACTGTCTGGAAGACCTATGTATAGCGTGATAGTATTCATTTCATTTCTACATATCTTGCACATCAATAGTTCCCATGACAATGATAAGTACTTACATTTAATTGAGTAAAATTGTTGTGCCTTTAATACCTTTCATTACCGATCAATCATATAAGCGTCTCTATTCTGGAGTTAAGATTCATTTGTACGACAAAATTGTAAAAAAGTATGGTGAAAATATCATTGAAAATATATTTGTTTGGTTTGTATAGTAGTTAGTATATAGGATATATAGGGTATAGGGCTATACCAAGCAAAATGGCAAGAATCGAATGCTGACTTTTACAGATACATACGTATAAGCCAAAATATGACCTAACGTTACGTTACCAAAAACAGAAGTGGCTTCCGAGGATGGGCTACAAAATCGCCAAGCTCTGCGAATCGGATCCGACTTTCTGTATAATATTTTTTTGTGCTAGTACATGAAATATTTAGCTTTCATTTTCCAAAATAAAAAAAGTACAACTTTTCTGTGGTTTATTTTTGCTATATATCTTGATATCGTTACAAAATCTGTGCTAAAAAATGAGATACAAAATATGTGTAGGTTTCTTTTAGATAGTTTAATATGTTAGAGAGCATTGTTTTACGAATCATTTTTCTTATAGGAGAAAATAGTAAAGTAAAACAAGACTATAAACATACGAAAAATAGCGAACTTTGCTTTTTTTAATAGGTTTTTCGCATTGCCAATTGGTTGAATTAGTTAACTTTCAATAAATAAATAAATTAGTTAAGGGCAAAAGTATATGTAAATCTGTTCTTACTGACTTGCAATGATTTTTGGCATGGTGGACATTTTGACGGGAGTACCCATATG